ATATAAAAAATATGCGCGATATTGTACCTCTGGTCACTTGGTGTTTTTATTGAAATGTACACAAATGGGTTTTGTTGGTTGGTTTCTTATCTTCTTTCATTTGGCTGTTGAGTCAAAAAGTAAATTTCAGACCCTCCTCTTTAAGTCGTGCATGAATGAAAAACAGTTTTTGCCTTTACATAAATGGCTGCTCGTCTACCTTGTACAAATAGACTTTTATTATCATGCCCGCCGAAACTTGGCACACTTTTTTAGTTTTTCCGAAACAAAATGCACTAAACCAGAGAACAAGGGTAAAAAAAAAAAAACATACTGCCACAGTTTCACCTCAGTAAACTTACTAGAAAAACAAGCTCCATACACAGGTTAAAATGTAGAAGTTTCTGTAACTCATTAAGTCTGGCCTCTTCAGTTGTTTTGACACTATTTTACAGTCTGTTACTCCTAAAATTGGAAATGTCAGAAGGTCCAGGGCCAGTAAAAGATCCCACAAAAAGAACTTTTTATTTTCTTTATCATAGACATTATTGTTTTTGAAGTTTGTATATATAACTCCTTTTTAATTTGTAGGATCTTCGTGCTCTGCTGCTAAAATGTGTGCAATGTTAGAAACCTGTTCAGTTGTATTCATGTGTGTCAAAGTAGTGGGATAAAAGAGGGACAGCTGCTTTGGTTTAACCTTTCATCAGTGGTTCTGATTCTATTATTTTTGATGGCCTTTAATGTTGAGGTGAAAAAGTGATATGTTTTGTGATCATACCCATCATAGTTATAAGATAATTAGTCTGTATTTCAAACTTTGGTTACTCTATGGAGGCTTAGGGTGTCCTAATGTTACCTTGTAAAAGCTTTGATGTGAGAGTTTAATGTGGAGCAAAACTATACTTGGTCTGCATTTTTCATCCAGTGCCCTTGTAGGTACCAGATCTGCTCGGGTGGTCAGATTTTTTTTTTTAATAAACTTATTAGAAAAATGTTATAATACAGAGACAAAATACAATTTACAGTGAACAATCACCAGGGGTTTAAGCAAAAGAAAATAAATAAATAAATAACAAAATAAAAAGTTATTAAATAAAAGTAAAAAAGTAATAGTGAATAGAAACATATAAAGGAATTATATAAATACTTTAAATTTAGAGCATAAGGTTATAGTTTTAGCAGTTTTTTTATTATTGGAGGAGGACAATGTAGAAAAATACTCGGGTGGTCAGATCTCGGGGCCCTGTCTCTTCTTATGACATCATCGTATGGCAACTCAACTTGGACTTACTGTATTGCACCTGTTTCTTAAGAATCAAATCTCTTTTGGACTCACAACTTATTATTACTTATATTTGCAATTATTTACATTTCATGTAATCTAAAGTAGCCGAAAGTGAAAAAAAAATCATTGTCAGTCTTGAGGGAAAGCACCGCCTTTAAGACAGACTGAACTCTGCCATTTAAAGTCGTAGGGAAGTCATATTTAAATTTTAAACCATTCTGGCTTAAACATGTATATAAGGCTATGTTCACACTGCAGACCTTGATGCTCAATTCTGATTTTTTTTTTGTGAAATCCAAGTTTTATTTTTTTTTGCGTTGCTGTTCACATTTCCAAATATATGCGACTTGTATGTGATCTCCTGTGTGAAGTGCAGTCATACAACCCAAGTGTCCCCCCTGCGCAGTAAAGAACGCAATGACGTCACAGGTCAGCGTGCTCTGTGTTTACAGAAGTAAACATGGATGTTAGTGTCGGCGAGCATCTAGTGGTCTTTTCCCACCATAAAAACACAATCTTTTCATGTTAAACATAAATACTGCTCTCCGCATCATCATCTGCCATCGTTGTTGTTTTTCTTGCCGCTTCTGCGTAGCAAAACGCAGAATAGTGATTTTTGTCGGGTATTAATTACGTTCAGGTCTGATGAATCCGACCTGGCCTTTCACAGGTCGCATTTTAAAAAATCAGATTCGTATCAGATTCAGGACCACATAGCCAAGTGGCCTGGGTCGCAATGGAAAAAATGGGATCTGTGTTGTTCAGAGAGCCATGAAATGATCAGATCCAGGTCGCATATAGGCAAAAAAATCGGATTTGGGTCACTTCAGGCTGCAATTTGAACGTAGTCTAAATGTACTCTTTACCGGACAGTAAAAAAAAAAAACAAAAGTTAGAAAATTTAAGTTAAAAAAAAAAAATCCTATCTTAAAATCTGTATGTATATATTTTTTGTTATCTTATGCAGGCCAGTTAGTTATACGTACATCTTAATTTGGGCAATCATATATCAACATTCATCTGTCAATCAAATTTTTTCTGTCATAGCATCTTGATTCATATGTCGCAGATAATATACACAACAGCTGAAATAAGAAATAAGAATCATTTACTTTCCCATTGAGTTGCGTCCCCAGTGTTCACGGGGATGGACGTCTGTGATGACCTCGTTGTAAAATAACTGCTCTTAAATATGCAGCTGTTTGTGTTTTTGTTTTTTAATGCCTAACAGAACCTTTTCTCTCTCTCCTTCTCATTTCAGATCTGTCCAATCTGTGCTGCTTTGCCGGGAGGCGATCCAAACCACGTGACGGATGACTTTACGGCTCACCTCACCCTTGAGCATAGAGCGCCAAGAGATTTAATATCCTTTATGCCTCAGCACATTGCCGTCTTTCGGCATGCTTGTTAATTTGATTAAAGTCATTTATGTTTGCATCATACACTGAGAGGGTTTTACCTTAACGGTTCCTTTGTACGATGAGTCCAGTAGTGTACGGCATGTACGCAGGATGTTCCACCCAGGACGAGGATTGGGCGGTCCCAGAGCTCGACGGACAAATATGCACTTTACTAGCGGCTCCACAGGGGGACTGTCATCCTCCTCATCACAGAGCTCCGCTTACACCCCCAGTAACAGAGAGACGATGGACCCCATTGCAGGTGAGAGTCTGGTTCCTACTGGACTTCGGCACCTGAATGTAGCTTTTAACAGAAATAATCTTTATGCATATAAAACACCAACCATATATTGAGAACTTGGCGTCCCCCCCCCCCCCACCTCATGAGTCGAATAGTGTGACAAAATAAAATCTAAGACATGTACATTGAGAAGAACTCAACAGGGATTTTTAAGTTGAGTCTGTGTCAACTTATTTATATACCACTTTACAACAAAGTGCTGCACAGGAAGAGTAAAAAAAATAAATAGAAGGGGAAAAAATGAAGACATGCATTAAAAATGCATAAGTTTAAAAACAAATGAAAAAGGTGTATGTTTAAAGGTTGTTAAGAGTAGGCGTGTGAAATAAATCAATTTAGCAATAATTTTGCGATTTTCAGCTGTCCAATATAATGATCTTTCAGGTACCAATATGATTTTGTTTTGTTTTTTTCTAAAATAGGGGGAAAAACTATTTCTCTTAGAATAGGAGACAATTTATTTCTCTTTTTTTTTCTATTATTAGAAACTCGGGGTACTTTATCTTTAATAATCTCACTTATAGTGGTTCCAGTGGTGTAATGATTACTTTGAGATGTCTACACAGTGACTTAAATGAAAAAAACCCTTTTGCCTCCTATTTAATGATGACAGAGTGTGTAACTATATATTTTTCTTTTCAGTGAAAATGTGCAACAACCCTTTTATTAAATAATAAATAAAATGTTTTGACGCAATGTCATTTGAAGGATCATCATCTTCTGATGAACATATACAGCACTTGTCTTTTATATTTACATTTATTTTAGGTATTAGCTGGGTAGAATATCACAATATATTGTGATAATATCATATTATGACCCAGGTATCATATGTGTATCATATTGCAACACCCTTACCAATACTCCCCCTGAGTTATGAGCAGCTTTAAAATGGATTGGTAGATTATTCCAAAGAGGCTGCAACACAAAGTTAACATACAGTACAGGTTAGGGTTGGATAATATGATCAAAATGTATATTGCGATACATTTCTTAATATCGGTTGATATGATTTCCTTTATTATCAACGGTAAAAAGATGAAAGCCTCAGAAAGACTACAGACGTCTGTACAAAGAATAATTTTGCCATGTTTATGAAACTCTTCCACTGTAATATTTTAGAAATATTTGCTTTAAAAAGCAGAAACATATAAAACTCAGAATATCAATCAGTGACAAATGCTGTCATCAGACTTATGTTTATTGAAATATCAAAAAACAGTTGGGGAGTCATATCATTGATGTTGAATTAAATGATGTTGTGATATACATTACAGCCCAAAAGTTTGGACACACCTTCCCATTCGAAGAGTTTTCTTTATTTTCGTGACTATGAAAATTGTAGATTGACACTGAAGGCATCAAAACTATGGATTAACACATGTTGAATTATATACTTAACCAAAAAATGTGAAACAACTGAAAATATGTCTTATATTCTAGGTTCTTCAAAGTAGCCACATTTGGCTTTGATTACTGCTTTGATTACACTCTTACCATTATCTTGATGAGCTTTAAGAGGTAGTCACCTGAAATGGACTTCCAACAGTTTTGAAGGAATTCCCAGAGATGCTTAGCACTTGTTGGCCCTTTTACCTTCACTCTGCGGTCCAGCTCACCCCAAACAATCTCGATTGGGTTCAGGTCCGGTGATTGTGGAGGCCAGGCCATCTGGTGCAGCACCCCATCACTCTTCTTCTTGGTCAAATAGCCCTTAAACAGCCTGAAGGTGTGTTTGGGGACATTGTCCTGTTGAAAAATAAATGATAGTCCAAGTAAATGCAAACCGGATGGAATAGCATGCCTCTGCAAGATGCTGTGGTAGCAATGCTGGATCAGTATGCCTTCAATTTTTAATAAATCACCAAGTGTCCCCAGCAAACCACCCCCAGACTATCACCTTTTTCTACCTTGCACAAAAACACAATGATTGGAACCAAAGATCTCAAATTTGGACACATCAGACCAAAACACAGATTTCCACTGGTCTAATGTCCATTCCTTGTGCTCTTTAGCCCAAGCAAGCCTCTTCTGCTTGTTGCCTGTTCTTAGCAGAGGTTTCCTAGCAGCTATTCTACCGTGAATGCCTGATTCACACTGTCTCCTCTTAACAGTTCTAGAGATGTATCTGCTGCTAGAACTCTGTGTGGCATTGACCATGTCTCTAATCTGACCTGCTGTTAACCTGCGATTTCTGAGGCTGGTGACTCGGATGAACTTTTTCTTTGTAGCGCTTGATTGTTTTTGCGACTGCACCTGGAGACACTTTCAAAGTTTTGCCAAATTTTCTGACTGACTGACCTTCATTTCTTAAAGTAATGATGCCACTTGTTTTTCTTTATTTACCTGCTTTTTTTCTTGTCATAATAAAAATTCTAAAAAGTCTATTCAGCAGGACTATCAGCTGTGTATCCTACTGACTTCTGCACAATACAACTGATGGTCCCAACCCCATTTATAAAGCAAGAAATCCCACTTATTAAACCTGACAGGGGACACCTGTAAAGTGAAAACAATTTCAGTTGACTACCTTTTGAAGCTCATCAAGGGAATGCCAAGAGTGTGCGAAGCAGTAATCAAAGCAAAAGTTGGTATTTTCAGTTGTTTCACACTTTTTTGTTAATTATATAATTTCATGTGTTCATAATTTTGATGCCTTCTGTGTGAATCTACACTTTTCATTGTCATTAAAATAAAGAAAACTCTTTGAATGAGAAGGTGTGTCCAAACTTTTGGGCCTAGCACAGCTGTCGGGAACGATAAAATATATCGGTGTTTGTTAACATGTCCAAGTTAAAGTAGGGCAGTCCCTAAAACACAGGGCTAAATGGGACATTGTAACAATTAACACAAATTTCAGGGTTTCTACAAGTCTTCTTGAGTATAACGAAAGTATTGCATTTTCAGACTTTATTGGCTTAGCTGGGCTCTAAAGGTAAAATCCATTAATCTTGGCAGTCTGTGGTTTTTTGTGGGTGAGAATCTAGCAGCTGTTTGATTCTGCATCTCTTTCCAATTCCCAATCATTCCACTCTTTGTTTTTTTTCCATCCATGCTTCTGTTTTTCCCTTTGGTGAATTAATTTAAAATGTAGTCATACAAGAAAAAGACTAAAGCTGTTTGCTGTCTCCTGCAGAGTTGCTGTCTCAACTGTCAGGCGTGCGGCGGGCTGCAGGGGGGCAGATAAACTCGTCAGGCCCTTCAGCCTCCCAACTCCACCAGCTCCAGATGCAGCTGCAGCTGGAGCGGCAGCAGGCCCAGGCGGCCCGACAGCAGGTAGAGGCGGGCCGCCATGCAACGCGACGTGGCAACAATCCCAGCAACACGGGCAACTCTGTCCCCCCACCCAGCTCGTCCACTGCCAACACCAACGCTGTGGGTGAAAACAATCCCTCATCCTCCTCGCAAAGCTCACAGTTTCTATTAGCACGGTGAGTCAGGCTGAATCCATTATACATTCGAAAAAATCAATAAAACGTCCCCGCAGCATGATGCTGCCTTTGCCATGTTTCACTCAGAGGTTGCTTTGATCAGGGTTTTGGTTTATATGCAGGTCAAAAAGTTTGGTTTTTGGTTCTCATCTTAATAGAGCATCTTCTGCCACCTGATGTGTGTGCTGTATGACCTGTAGAAAAAACTAAAAAAGCTTTGTTTTGACAACGGCTTTCTCTTGCCACTCCCCTGTCTGAGTGCGTGATTAATAGTTGTCCTGCTCATAGATTGAGGCTTTTACAGAAAAATTATTTTTTTGTTGGTTGCACTAGAAGCTGAATATATAAGCATGGCAACGGATCCAAAATGCTACCATAGTATGAGCTGAATTAACTATAACTGCGCAGAGTTTCTGAGGTTTATGGGATTTTTTTAGTTACCTGTAAAAGAAAATAAGCCAAACACGTAAATTGGGGTCAGGGGTCAGCATGTGGTAATATAATGGAAGTAACCTTGTTGCTAAATGAATGGATATATTTTATGGTATATAACTTGAATAATGAACTTTGTAGCAAACAAGGCAAAATGATGAGGTCAGATTTGCTGCCGGGTCTGTAAGGTCCACCTCTGTCCTAAAGCTGAGTGCAGCTGCTTCATAGAATATAACCAGTAATGTATTGTTCCCTGCTGTGTTTGATACCCAACCTACTGGAAATTGAGTTAAAAAAAAAAAGTTAAAAACTTAACATTTGAAGTAAATGAAGTTCAAAAGTTAATTTCAAGTTTAAAATATAATTTATGTTGTGAGAAAAAAAAATGTTTGTTTCTGGTTTTTACAAATTTCTTACAGAATCACTCTGCGTTCTGTTTTTTTTTCTTTTTTTTTTTTTTTGCACATTAGGGAAGTGACTTTTTTTGGTAATTACATTGACCTTGATTTTTGCATTTCTTTTTATGTTAAGTATATTTGCTCTATCCCCCCTTTTTACTATTGACTTGAATTTTCTAGTTTCAACATATCTCTCTGCTTGTCCTATAAAGGATTAATGGCTTGAACTTTTTTTTCTTTTTTTCTGACAGGTTGAATGAACCCAAGATGTCCGAAGCAGAGCGTCAATCCCTAGAAGGAGAGCGAGCCGACCGCAGCTTGTTCGTCCAGGAGCTGCTTCTGTCGACGCTAATGCACGAGGAAAGCTCCTCCTCTGACGAGGAAGAGCGCCGAGACTTCGCCGACTTCGGAGCCATGGGCTGCGTGGACATCATGCCTTTAGACGTGGCGCTGGAGAACCTCCAGCTCAGAGAGAGCAGCTCCTCAGGGAGCGAGCCTCCGCCGCCTCCTCTTTGATGTCCGAGCATCAAACAGACTTTGTCCTCTGTGCTGCAACTGTCAGTGAAGGGGCAGCAGACAGCCGCGGTCCTCCCTGGCCCCGCCCTAATTTCTCTCTCTCTCTTCCTATCTCCCCCTCTTTCTCTCTCCCCCCTCTATCTTCTCAGTTTGTTTTTGGTGATTGTAATTTAAGGCCCGTCACCGTAACTTGTTACATTGTAAACAAAGCAAAAAGAGAACAATTGGAATAAAATGTTCATATGGGGAAAGGAAGAGAAGAGATTTATATAAATATATAGAAAATATATATAAAGTTGATAATCAATCCACTTAACTTTTCTTTATCAGGTGAGTGTTGCAGGCTGCTTCTCTTCCTGTGACATGTGAAGGGCCCTTCATATAAATACTCCACATTCAGAAGTCAAGAGAACACCTCTGATGAAGCTGCTGTGTGTGTTAAAATAAATAAAAAGTGTTTGGATGGGTGACCATGACTTAAAGCATGCAGTTATTTGCAGCGTGCATGACCTTTAAATGACCCTGTCATGAAATTTTGTATTTTTTCTTTAAAGATATCCCAAAGCGTTTAACCCTTTCAAATGGTTACATCAAATATAGCTTAAGTCTTGAATATTAAGTAGCATATAAACTGACATGCAGAAATCGGACTCTAAAGGTCTGTCTTGTTTGGTCTTTTTTTTCATCGAGTAATTAAAATGAAGAGAATCGACTGGAAGCCTAAGAGGACACTGCGGTTTGAGAATCCAGTCAGATTTTTCTGTATTATGGCTGCGGACACGAAAGCGAAGAATGTAAGAAAAGAGCTTTGCCTCTAGATTTTAATCTTTAGTTTGAAGATTTTAAAGCACAGTGTAGTTTTTAATTTATAAAAGACTTGATCCGGTGCTTCTCCTCTCTGCTCGTGTCAGACCACAAAGGCTTGTTGAATTTTTGCCGGGGATTAACTTTTCTTTTTCTTTCCCCCTTAACTCTTTTAATTTTTCTGTTAAAGCTAGCACTTTCTATTTATTTATACCTGTTTTATGATTCGTTTGAGCCTTGACATGGATCTTGCCACCTTCATGCCTCTACTTTTACCCTCTATGTAAAGAAATGTACATTGAATTTTTTGCGTTAACTTTCATAATGATTCTATGACATGAGCAGACTTTTTTAAAGTGTAAATTTAGAATACAATAAATATGGCACACATCCTTTGAAGGAAGTGAAAACCTCCAAACGTTTGCACATTGTCTTTTTATTTCCTATTTGTCAAAACGGTACAAGGGCCATACTATAATAATATTTTTTTAGATTACAAAAACAAGTCATGACATTAAAGAATCCAGGTCTGACTTAACAGTGAAAAATGCGGTCTTAGCCCTGCATTTCAACGGAAGAAGGTAAAATGCTTTTTATTGTCAGAACCTTTTTATTAATATTTTATAATAGCTTATATCTATATATATATATATTTATTTCTGGAATATATATTTATTTATTTCTGGAACAATGCTGCATTTTTATTGTAATTTTTCCCTCATAGATCTAATATAGTGCCTTTACTATCTTTGTAACAATATGACAACATTTAATATAAAAACTTTATTCTCATAAACCTATATTATGACTTAATTTTTCATAGACCAAATATTAGGTCTTTATTTTTGTACAAATATGACCTTATTCTGGTAATATTTCTTAAATCCTATAGACTTAACTATTTTAGTAAAAAAGAAAAGTGGTCGTCATAATCTGTCATATTTATAGTCCCTCATCTTGCAGGACAGCCTAATTGGCTGTTTTATATATATATATATATATATATATATATATATATATATATACAATGAATATTGAAAAATCTTGTGAAAATATTTATGTTCCATGTCAAAATAGTTCTTTAGCTTTTTAGCTTAGGGAAAAAAATATATCTAGAAAACCTCAGTTTACTCAGTATAGGTGCATATAAACACAGACTATTTCAATAAATCAGAAGAAAATAAATTACACGTTATTACACAATCCTCTGTTTTTCCACTGTTGATAGTGTGCCTTTTATTGCACTCTCCTTCCACCTAATTTTCCAATAATATTCTTACACACTAATCACTTCAGCAATGACATGTTGTGGCTGACAGACATGGTGGACAACTATCAGGTCAGAGTTATGCCTGTTGATGTTTGGAATATAACCATTTACCATAATATAGCTTCTTTGCAATTATTTAAATTTATTTTTGAATCCTATGTTTTGATTAGCTTTATGATATAATCACCAAAGTAAATACTTCAGGCAGACATCTCTGTGACTAATAAACCAATGCAAGGCAGTCTTATTCCCTGAAATACTAAAATAACTTTCTAGTGACATCTTACCTTTATTAGAAGCAGCTGCACTACTCTGGCATAAACCCACGACATACTTATTCTTACTTACTTGAGTCTTCTTAATTTGTATATAAAAAAAAGTCTAAAAATGTAAAATACATTTGACATTTCTTATTTTCTTTCACTCCTGTCGCTTTATGGTGGTTTGACTTGATGGTGACAATTCTTATATTGAATTCATCAACAAATTATCCTTTCAGATCACATTTGTGTGGACTTTGAGGTTCTATTTTAAGTTGTTTTTGTTTCTCTAAAATAGTTAAAAACTAGGAAAAGTAATCATCCTTTTTTAGTCAGAAATGCACATTTCACTTTGGACTAAAACTACTGAAAAACAGCAGTCTAACAATTTTTTTTTTGTTTTTGTTTTTTTAAATCTGAATCCTTTATTTACTGTCCTATCCTTTATTTTAAAAAAATCAAATGCCTTGAAAAAATGATACTGGATATGTTTTAAATATAGATGAAAAAGGAATGAGATCATTGATTTCAGTCAGTATTAACCAAGCACTAAAACCAAAGTATAAACCTGAAGTGTGCTGTAGCTGCTTTGTCCTTGTATGTGAAGGCCTGTGAGCCAACTGTCTGTGTCACTCACCAGCAGTTATTGTTAGAAACAAATGGTGTCTACTGGATAACTTTCATGACACTCAGGGCAGCTGGCACTTCCTAGGAGCCCAGCACCAAAAAACAACAGATTGAGTTTCAGCCTCACTTTAGGAGTCATTAGTTTGTAGGAGAGGGAATTCGTTTGGAGCTAGTAATGTGAAACACCATCTGACAGGTTAAAAAAATATTAATGTTAATATAAAACTGAATGATTTGCACCAGAAATAATAGGGAAAGAAAGCATTTTGTTTGTTTTGAAAGCCCAGTGTAGATAGACGGGGCTCCTGGGAACCCTGCTGTGACCAGGTGGCTTATTGAAGGGATTTTTATGGTTTTTGATGCAACTTTTTAGTTAGAGAAATTCTGTAGAGGTTTCTCTTGAATGACTATTTAATTGAAATGTCTATATACAAAGTAAAGCTTGGATCCAGAAATGAATACATAAAAAAGCACACATTATTACCCACTTTTATATATATAAAAAAAAAAAAAATGGTGGTGTTGCACCTATTTAAGTGTCCAATGCATGACGTTTTCACACCGGTAAGCCGATATAAGTCATCATTAGTCACACCGGCATGAAGTCTCTGGCAGCCCAGCAGATCTGAGTGGTGAGTTTCCTCATGTAGCCTTCATGCACACTATGTTTCCTGCTGGAGGTCCGCTGGGCCTCAGTCCTGTCACTAAGCCTCTGCAAGTTGGTTTCACTGATATTGGCTCTTAAACCAACAGCTAGATGACTAAGATGACTGAGACAATTGTTATAGCAAAATATTTCTATTTTAAGTTTTTACCCCCTTTTCCAGTGTTCAAATATTGTTTTTCCTCAATGTCGTTTATTCTTTGAATCCATCATTTTATTTCCCCTTATTTATGTCCTTATTTCTTTCTTTACCTTTGTTTCCTCTCTTGTGGTTTCTTTCCTCCCTTGTTCCCTTTGTCTCCCTTTCCCTTTTTCTCCCTCTCTTTGTATCTCTCCACTCATCGTTGTACACTTATCCTTCCTTTTGTCCATCTTTCCTTTTTTCTTTTATCCTTCCCCTCATTTATCTTCTGTGTATCCATCTTTCCATGTATTCCTTCCTTCCTTCCATGTTTTCCTTCCTTCCTTGCTTCCTTCCTTCCTTCCTTCTCTTCTACCCTCTGATTGTCTCTTCTGTCCTTCCACCCCTGTATTCCTTCCTTCCTTACTCAACCCCCCTCCTTGTATGCTTCCTTCCTCACTTCCTTGCAGTTTCTGATTTTTGCTTGGGGCCATTAAGTCCAGCAAATCTGCAATGCTTTAATAAAAAAAAGATGACAATTTAAATATACTCCTTTAAAATATTTAAAAAGACAAATCCTGCTGGATATGCATACTGATAAGGACATGGTATGAGTTAGGGACAAAGGGATGCAATTGTTATTTGATCTCAATGAAAAAGATCAAGGGTTATTGCATAGTCTCAGAGAACATAAAACTGAAGAATTGATGCAAAGCCGGGTAGTTCTAGTATTCTATGGTCACTGCCAATGGAACTCCAAAGGGGTCATGGCAGTGAACACATGGCTTCCTAGAGGATGTTAGGCCTTTAGTCCACCTTCATCAAGTCTGTTTCAAATGGAATGGTCAGAGACATTCAGAGTGACCTGCTGGAGGTCAATCTATAGATCTGTCAAAGTAGCTTTCCTGTTCCTCCTTCTATAAACAGGTGACACCAATTTAAAATCATTTACTAATCCCAAAGGTAAATTAACTAATATAATAAATAAGATATTGTTCATGCTGATGAGTCGAGGCCCTCCAACCATGTTCATCCCTCTTAAGGTATCTGCTGTCTCTAAGCTCTCAAGACTTTCTCGGGAGACAAAAAAAAAAATTTTCTAGCAATGACAAACGTAGATGGCCTGTGCAACCTCTAAAGCAGGGGTCACCAACCTTTTTAAGGATGAGAGCTTCTTCATGTCTACTAAGTCATATGAAGGAGGGGACCCCTGACAGATTCTGTTAAACAGAATTTTTATTACTTCTTTTCATTTCTAATTTTCTTTTAGATATTGTAATTTTCGAATCTTTATAAATGCTGAAATGCTATATAAATGATAAAAAATGAAGAGCAATAGAATCACATAAAATTTCAATCTGAGTTCACGACACCAAGGTGTCTTGAACCCCCCATGTGGTCCTGGACCGCATGGGGGGCCCTTGACCCCTGCTCTTAAGGGTCCAGGTATGGCGTTATGCCACCAGTAGTGACACTGATCCACGGCAAAGATAGCTCTGGCCTCCATCCAGTAAAGCAGCTGGCACAGATTAAGAGGTTACTAGGTAACGGAGTGGAATAGTACAATAGAACTAACCGACTAGGTATAACACGCTGATTAAAAGCTTACTTATTGTTTGGGAGTAGCTTTTGGAAGCTGAGCTTGGATGTTTCACATTGTGGACAGGGGAGAACCAAGAAATCTATTTAGGTGTAACATCATAGGTTAGATTCCAAACCCAAATTGAGTTCATAAAAACCTTTAGTTGCCTTTAATCTAAAATAGGTTTCTGAAATTTTCCCCAGCAAGGCTCATCATATAATTGCCTCCCATCCTAAAGAATAAAATCATATATTTATGATACTGTTTGTCTCAAAAAATAACAATTAAGATATTTTGACCTTCAAACAAAAGAAAAAAAACAACTAAGCAAGACAAAAGCTAGGGCCCCACCCAATCAATAGGGGGCCCCATACATATAGTGACTGGGTGGGTGATTTAAACATCTGTTTTCCCTGAGATAAAGTTCATTTGAGGTTTGTTCTCAAATAAAATTTAGGACTTGAGGACGCAGAGCTTATTGTAAGACATACCACCTTTATTAAATGCACAGTATCACAAGAAACATTTCCAGTAATTGTGGATAAGCTACTCACATGATGCACAAAGCATTGAATTGATTGATAGAACTGGCTGATTAAAGCAGGGTCAAATCCGCCAGAACAACTCCACACACACACACACACACACACACACACTTCCATTCGGTTCTATGCGCAAATACACACACACAATCGCATCCACAAACAGAAACACACACTCATTGTATTTTATAAGTAAAATTTGTTATCTTCACAGGAATGAAAACTCTTGTCTTTTTTTTTCTTCTTTTACCGTATATTTACAAAAAAAATCATTGACCCTCCCCAAGATAGAATACATTCAAAAAAGATCCCCACCCATCTAGATTACATTCAAAATAATATACTATTCATGATGCAAAGTCACAGTTATTCATCTGAAAGAGGATCAAAATAGGCTACAGTCTGTCAGAGGTGGTCAGGGTTGCGGAGACGGACAGGAGGAGATCTTTAGATCGCCGCCTCCATCTGCCACACATCAACTAGGGCGCCTGCTGGCGAGGAGAAATCCGGTTATGTAGAGTCTATGTTCCTCCTACAGACAGGCAGCATCTGAGATCGCTTCTGTACGAGCTCTCCATCACAGTGGAGAGGAAAAGAGGAAATCTTTATTTTTTTTTCTTCTTCTTCTTCAGAGAGAAAAATAAAACAGATTGTTCAAACGACATCCTCTTCAGATTCAAAGTTGCCAAAGGAGGAGGGTCGTTTTCTCTCAGGTATCATGAACGTACACGAAGAAATCATACAACGCCGCACAAATAAAATCCTATTTACATTTAGTATGTATTGCCAGTGGCTCATAACACATTGTTTTCAATAGGTGTCACACAGTTTTGATGTACCTGCTTGGAACAGATTATACAATTAAACTTAGCCTACTAATAATATAGACAGTTATCAGAACTGTACAGGATGGACAGCAATTTATATACAGCCCACACAGGACTATTATACAGAACAGTGTATAAAAAACATAGTGGCACTCACACACACACAAAAAATGCTTGTTTTCTCCGTGTTTAAACTTGCTTCAGCTTACAAAAATGCTACAAATTGCACCTGACAAACAAAACTCATTGGGTGACTCCTTTACATATTAAATAAAAAACCCACAATAGTTATTTTGATGAGGTCGAGATGAAAGCACCCGAGCATTACATTAAAGGCAATCAGATGCTAATTTACTCTACTGCAATATAGCAGCATTCTATTTTTACAATGCCTTGTAGAAGTATTCACACCCCTTGAGCTTTTTCATATTTTATTATTGTACGACAAAAGCTGTGAATTGAGCAAGCTTGGTATGTAGGAAACCGAAAACAAAGCGGGGAATGATTGTGAAATTGAAGGACGGGGATACGCAGGTTTTCAAAATCCAGCTGTAAAGGCCTCAGAGGAACAAATAGCTCAACAAACCTACCAAACGTGCAAAACGCGGTTGCCCACCGGAACTGACACAATGGCTGAGGAGACTGTTGATTGAAAAGGCCGCCATGAAACCGATGGTAGCTACAGAGGAGCAGCATTGATCAGCAGCTCAGTTGGACGAATCTTACAACAGAATAACAATCAGAAGAAAGCTGTTTTTTTTATTTATTTTTTTATGGAAGAGTGGCAGTAAAGAAATCTTCATTTGCAGTTTGCCCTAAACCACACGGGGAGACTCATAAAGCGACGGCCTATTGGTTAGGGCATAGAGCTTGGAATCCTGAGGTTCTGAGTTCCAGCCCCACTCCCACAGACTGCCACTCTGGGTCTCTAAGCAAGACCCTTTACTCCACACTGCTCCCCGGGCGCCCCACGATGGCAGCTCCACAAGGGGATGGGTTAAATTCAGAGGTAAATTTCTCCAATGGAAGATTAATGAAGTTCAATTAATTAAAAGATGTGGAAGAAGATGCCCGAATCAGATGAGAGTATGATGTTTGACCTGCATGAAAAAAACACTAATTATAGCAGGATATTTCTCTGCACATCACTTACAGCGAAACACACCAGTAAAGCATGGTGGTGGCAGCATAATGTTGTGGGGATGCTTCACTTTAACTGGGACAGGGAAGCTGGACTTAGAAAATAAGGCAATATTCAATATTGTTCATCCAATAATATGAGTTTTGTTTAATAGTAACAATTCTTTAGTCTAAATTATTCTATAGTGGCTCTAACTCTCTGTCCTTTGGAGAAAATCTCTATCTTTAGTCTTTTTTTCTTCTTCCAGGGTCACCTTGTATTCACTACTATCAATCTTCCCATAAACTCTTTCCATGTACATGTAAAAACCATGTAAAAACCCTCCCCGCAGTATGATACTGTTACCCCCATGTCTCAGTGTGGAAATGACTTGTTGACACATAGATGTAAACTTTAAAAAGCATGTTTGCAATTAGTGTAAAGCGGAAAACCATTTTTAAAAAAGTTTAAAAATATATATGCGTCACTTGTAATGGTTGATCACATACAATTCTAATTTTATACCTTTAAGTTGGTAGTAATAAGTTAAAATATGAAAAAAGTCCCAGGGGTATAGCATATTTCTCAAGCCACTGGATATAAAGAAGTAAATATTAAAAATACTAAAGCCAGACAAATAAATAAATAAATAAATCCTGATATAGCATTAGAAAGCCCTCACAGCCCATACATCAATCGGTCTTTTAGGAGCCCAAAATGTTTGAAATCCGGCTCTGAAACATCAGTCAGAGACGAGCCACAAAACCAAGTTTTCCTTTTATACTCAATGGCACTGCAGGTGAACGACAGACAAATGGAGAACTAAAAACAACCACTGCCCTCATTCTCACACCTCTGTGCTTCAAATAGCTCTGCTGATTAAAACAAAGCCTTAACAACCGTTTCCCACTAACACATCATGATATTTTTAACAAGAGTAAAATATGAACAGATATTCACAAAATATGCTTTTTTTTAAATTAACAATGTAAAATAGATTCCCTTTTATTTCACAATTTTGAATTAATCGTTTTTTTCACTTGTGTGTAAAAGTTTTTTTTACATATACATGACTTAAATACCAGATTTAAATCAACTAGAATTAAAAAGCTCTATCTACATAGATTTTCCATATATTCTCAGTCAATGAGTGTTTCCGGCTTTTTGCTGTTTTTTTTCCCTTATTTTTATTTTTTACTCCCAGCAAATAAGAAACCCAGTGTGGTAATGTATTCACATGGTGGAGGTTGACCTATCTACTTGTTTTTTGTTTATTCCTGATCTCTAATTTGAGTCAAAGGACATAATCCTGTGTATATTTTCATTTCACTCTCTGAAACATGCCTCAGAAAATCTGCAAATGAATAAAAAACAAAACTAAATCGAAACTCAAAATTTAAGGCTGATCTTCATGGAATGAGGACAGGGACAGTTTGCATTTTACAGTCACATTTACAACCAGGTTCTGTACATTGATTTAGTCACACCGCCTTCTCTTCCTACCCTCACTGCATCCTAACATATTCTCCAGCACCCAAACACCCATTTAGGTAGGAAGCACACATGCACACAAAGTACATACACAGCTGCTGATGCATCAGCCCAATATATCCAGGTAGACAGGTGAGGCCTTTGCCAAGCTCTGCAGCATGCTGTGGATTTCCTTGATGTTTAGCCTCATGTAGGGCTCCCGCTGCCAGCAGCCCAACATCAGGTCGTACACCTCCTTGGGACAGGTACGGGGCCGCTGCAGGACTCGGCCTTGTGTAATGCATTCAATCACCTGTAGGGGACATTTTCATATGTCAGATTTCTCCCTTTATAATATACAATAACTTACTTTTTTATTTAAAATATCTAAACAATCAGAATAATAGAAATAAGCTTAGAGCTTAGTCATACAAGAACCACAAACTGCAGTGTATTTTATTAGGATTAGGAGTAAAAGCCCAACTTGGCTGGCCTCTGGAGGGATTTAAAGGGACAATGTGGAACAATTTCTCTTTTTACTGCCTGACATCGCTGACTGTTTACATATATGTTATTGTTGATGTATTATTTCCTCCACTAATAATCAGAAACATGCCCACAAGCATAGAATTTCATATTATATACACAAGGCTTGGAACCAGTTAGTGAAGCGGCATGACAGCTTGCTATATTGAAAGTACAGATGCAGACGAGGGATAAAATAGTACTAACGAGCAAAATAACAACCGGTGATGAAGATCATTGGGAGACGCTAACCAAACAGCTACAAGTCTGCACAACTGCAGCACAATGCATGTGCAGCAGCAGCCCGAGAAACGGTTTCCCCATTAAAAAGAAAAGGAAAAGAGACTAGGAAACCAGAGACATTAAAAAAACATGAAGGACATTGGATAAATCTTCTCCATTTGAAAGGAGCAAAAGAGGGAGAAAGATATGAAAAGTGATGCTGAAGTTGCAATGATTCTCATTGACATGTAGTCCTGCTGAAATTAGGGTAAAGCTTCCTTTTTCCATTCAGATTAATTAGAAGGTGTTGCTCAATTGCATAACAGTAGATCCTGCAAATATATATTGATAATATATAGATTTTCGTGGGTTTAGTAGCTTTCAAAGACATGATGGACACTGGCTTTTAGTAAAAGCCAATAGCCATAAGAGCTCTGCTCTTGCTGTTGCCCACAGCTAAATGAATAAAAAGGAAATGCATCTTTCTCTTTGATGCTCACATTTATCTACGCAAAGTCATTTAGACAGGTTCTTAGAAAACATCTTATAAAATGTATCTAAATCAGGAAACTTCTTATAAGCTACATGCCAATCAGGCTGAGTAAATGCCATCTACCTCCATTAAACTTCTACAATGCGTATGTAGGATCCCCAGCGGATCAAAAGGCAGATTTTATTATCACATTACTCCTTAACTGTGGGAGAATAGAGCTCAGCTACACTGACAAAACTGGAGTACCGTCTACTGAGAAAAAGCTGGGTAACTTTTTCCACATATAAATTCCTTGTAGATTTCACTCAATAAAATCTAAGTTGGTTTTACTTACTAAGAAGAGTTGATTTAAAAAAGTTAAGTACATTTTACTGCCAAATGTCTCTTATAAACAAAAGACGTACCTTTTTCTGCTAGTGAATTTTATGCAGACACAGGAAGCTTAAGCGGAAATTCAATCTGGAAGACTCTTATCAGCTTCACCCGAACCACCTGGGATGTCCCTTGTTTAGCTCCAGCCAATCAACTCGGGGCCGCACCCTCTCTGAAGCCAAACATCTTGCAAGATCCCCTTCATCTAGCTCCTGGCTCAGCTTCTCTCTCCCGTAGCATGTTAACTGTCACCTGCCTCAACCCACCTTCTTCCTCATTCTCTGTCCCGCTCATTCTCTGACTTATTCCACCACCAGTGTCCGGATGCCGGGGTAAGATCACTCTAATCCTTTTCTAGGTTACTCATCCAAGCGTATGTTGAATCACAGCATTAAAGTCCTCTGCCAGGGAATAATCACCAAATAACTTATTTCATTTATGTCATCATCTGCTTCTGTCACCTTGAACCCCAGTCGGCCTCGGCAGATGGCCACTCACGCTGAGCCTGGTTCTGTTAGAGGTTTCTTACTGTTAAAAGGGAGTTTTCCTCTCCACTGTCGCTATATGCATGCTCCACGCTATATGCATGCTACGAATCATCTCAATCATTTGGTTTTCCTTAGAAAGAAATATTTTGAAGAATGATTGTTACATGTATAAATAACTATTAAAATATTCTAATTGCAGCTTTTCTATGCGTGAGACTCTCCAGGTTGAAATACAACTACCGGTATGTACACAGAAGAAGAATATAAAGAAGCCAAGAAGTTTGTGGACTGTGGGAGGAAGCCAGAGTACCCAGAGGGAACTAACACATACACATGGAGAACATGCAAACTTCGTGAAGAAAGAACCTGGACTAGAGATCGAATCCTAAACCTTCTTACTACAAAGCAACAGAGCTACATACTATTCCACCGTGCAGCCAACAAGTAAACAAGATGTTCTACTTCTGATCTAAACATGGCCAGGCAAGGAAAAATGCACCAAGTTTACTTCTAATATCCAAGTACTTCTTACTTGTATCTGTTAAGTTGGGAAACTATTGAAGTTGTTTCGTTAATACTATTTCATAAGATGAATTAAATGTACTTGCCTTTTGATGGATATAGATTTACAATTAATCCTAAGTAGAACATTTGGTATAAGGTTTCATTTTGAAGTAATGGCACATATATAGCAAGATGCAGTAAATTTTATATAAAAAGTGAGGAAATAGTTACAGGAAAAAGTCCCTTTTTCAGTGTAGAAGTATTAAAGGCACTACACTTTATAAGCTAACCGAGTGTCTTAAGATCAAATGACTTGATCCGTTAAAAAATACATTAAAATTAAGCTGTTTATTTTCTATTATCTGTCACTCTTTAACAACAAAGTCTGAATTTCCCTTAATGCAATCATTGCCATCTCAGAGGTAATTTCAGCTTTAAATGTAAAGGTTAAAACCTTGATGTGACTGACCTCATTGTTGGAGAGCTGGTACCAGGGCTGCTTGCCATACGTGAAGATCTCCCACAGCACCACACCTAGACTCCACACATCACTCTCTGTCGTAAACCTCCGATACATGATGCTCTCTGGGGGCATCCAGCGGATGGGCAGCATCGTATGACCGCCAACCTGGGGACAAGGAGCAGCCTCCATTAGCAGGCCTCCTCGGGTCAGATCAAATTGTTTTAGTGGCTAGTTACACCATTTATAATCACTTAATTATAAAAAATAAAATCCATGACATTTTTTGCTGTTGTGCAAATCCAGAACAAACATTTTTATGTATTAAATTAATTACAAGCCTAATGATTATATCAAGAATAAAGCTACTAGTCAGACATTTATGTCAGTCAAGCTCATTCATGGAACATGTCCACACCAATACTTTTTTTTTCTTTTTTTTCCAAAATAATAATACACTAAAGAAAAAACTAACTCTTTCATATAGCGGCTTAATTGCCTGTATCCTAAAATATTTCAGCTTCTAAATGTTTTAAGATTGGAACACACATCCAGGCTGCTTTTCTGGAAAGAAAGTTCAAACTTTACACTGTTTATGTATGTATACAGTATCTCTGGATCAGATGTCCCAGACTAGCTTCTCTCTTCTCTTTGTTAAAACAGTGGGTGGCTGGTTTAGGACACAGTTTTAATAATGAACTGTTTATTTTTGGTCCTAGATATTCAAAAGCACAAGAGTGGAATATTTGTGTGGTTAATTTTCTGTTTGGTCAGGCAAAGTTTTGGCTCACCAGGAGAAATAAAATGAAGGAGGCAGGTTCAGTAGATGTTGAAGTGATTTTCAGAGGCCTGGTAGCGGCACGTCTTAGGACAGAGTTTGCATATTATAGAATGCTGTCAAATCCTAAGGAGTTTATTTCTATTTGGGGAGGTGGAGATATTTTATGTTGTGTAAATAATCAAATGCTTATTCTCAGTTTTTGAGGGGGATGACTTTGTCTTTTGTTTTTTTTCTTCTGGCTTGCGGTATATGAGTATATGTATGTAATTTACTTGTGTTATTGTAATTGAAACATTGGACCAATAAAAGGAGTACATGGTATGTATGTATATTTCTATCTTTAATTGCCTTCTAAATCTTTTTTTATTTCTCAAGTGACGTTTTGCTTATTTAGCATCAACATACAAACCTAAGGCATTTTAAAGGTGTCTAAAAATCTACTAACAGTTGTAATTGGTCATTTATAGTGATAATTAAAGTGATGCATAAAATAATCAGGTCAACTGTTTCAAGCTTTTATAGAACTGTTGATATCAGATATCTTGTACATTTTACTTTTTATATATATTTTTTTATTTATCCATATTTTTATCCTAAGTGTATATATTAGTATATTTTTTGCATGCCTTATACCCCAGTGTTTCTAGAGATTTTTATAATTTTATTTACTATTTCATCTATGTTTCATGTTGCACGATTGTACCATAAAAAATTCCTAGTTGTGAACTCCTTCACTAACAATGGCAATAAACCCGATTCTGATTCTGAAAAGTAAATTAGTTCTAGGGTACTGGAGAGTGATTTTTTGAATATATATCACACTTGTGCTCTATGGTTCACCTTCCAAATGATGTAATTTATCAGCTGGTTTGTTCTAACAGACTCAGGAAGAGTTTTCACAACAGAACTCAGATCAGTGCTTCACTTCGTTGAGCCAGCGATATACATCTGTATTATGTAAAGTGATGATAAGGATTTATTTGTAATTTTTGTTTTGTTTTATGGAAATACAAGTAACCAAGCTTTTATTTCACATTGTGCTTTAACTTAGAATTAGGCTTTATTTGATTAAAATGACTATCAGTGATGTGACAGTTTGTTTACCTGTTTTACATCTCACTGTCCAGCAGAGGGTGCTGTGGGATTCAAGTTAAGATCTGAAACAAACTGATTTTTCTAAAAATCCCACCTGCTCCTGTCTATGTCTTTGTTTTACACTGATCAGGTTTATTATCACCTCCATAAATAGCTGCTGTCTCATGCATACACACATGGATGCTTACACTGTGTACTGCTTTGTGGTTTAATATGATGCTGTCAATGTGAGTGGGATAATGATTTGATTCATTGCCTAAATAAATTGCAAAACTATGCTTGCTTTTTTGCCTTGTCTAGCCTTATTACCATGGAAACTTTAAATTTATGTAGATTACAGAATTTACATTTAAATGGTTTTAAAAGTAAGCCTTGCTAAAACTGCTATTTCTGCTGCAACAAACTCATGTCACCAAAGCTGGAGAAAATAAATCAATATTTGTAGCTCCTTGTGTTTCTCCTTGAGCACTGCAAAAATTTGCATTAGCTGTAGGGAGTAACAAACAGATGTAGAGGAAAAAAGATGTAGCTTTGCTTACCCTGTAGTAGTCTGTGCTGTAAACATCCCTCGACATGCCAAAGTCTCCAATCTTGACCAGAAGGTTTTCCCCTACCAGGCAGTTCCTTGTTGCCAAGTCTCTGTGGACAAAATGCTGGGAGGCCAGGTAGACCATGCCAGCAGCAATCTGTTGGGCAATGTGCAGCATCTGAGACTGGGTGAGCTCCACCAGGATACTGTGCTGACCGTCTGCCATGAGAACCGCATCAGGACCGTGGGACCTGCACCCAGAAGCCAAAAGCATATTTGAACTAGTTACTAATACTAAAAATGTATTAAAAAAAATAAAAAATAAAAATTATATATATATATATATATATATATATATATATATATATATATATATATATATATATATATATCACAATTCTGTTTTGAAGGTATAGAGGGCAATCTTTTACTTCCGGGTGGATCATATAAATAATTGCTCCTCCTAATTGTCGATCGTTCTGTTGATATGTTTACATAAGGCCGTCCTAATTGCTCATCCCGTTAGCTATCTTTTTCTGCACATGCGTACTTTCAGGCGTATGATAGTCAATGAAGCTCACCTTTCTCACCACGGTTCTTTGAAAATGGGTAATAACAAAAAAAGTGTCTATGAGGGTATATGAGAACAAAAGAAAGGCCTCAGAAAAGGCAGAAATATCCCAGAATGCTTTGCCCGGAGAGCTCTCCTCGAAAAGTAGAGGAAGAGGAGCGTGGTCAATGGGGAGCAAAAAGCAGTGATCATCTGTCAGATAACAGTCAGTTATCTGAGTTCGCTATAAAGTCCACTATATAGTCCCCACTCTTGGGCACAGTTAGCTTGTGTGAGCTATGAGAACAGCAATTTTTAAGCAGAACAAACACAAGGAGAAATAGGCTTGTACACGCTCTTGCATGCGTTTAATAGGCGTTCCCAGTCAGGAGAGGGTACAGGGTTGTGCATGTGTATTTTTTTTAAGTGGAGGGCGGGTCTTTTTGAAAAAATCCTCTACAATACCTTAGATTTATGACATTTTCGCACCTGAGAAACTTGTTCAGGTCTCCATGTTTCATGTACTCAAACACCATGATGAGGGGATCGCTCTCCACACACACTCCATAGAAGGTGACAATGTGATCGTGCTGCAAGTTGGTGAGAAGCTCGGCCTCTCTGTAGAAATCTGCGCGGCCGCTCTCGGTGGCCTCCTTCAGAGTCTAAGAGACAGAGAGCGGTAAGATTAACAGGAACAAACATCCAACTAAAACAGTTCCCCAGTTCCCTGAGGGAGGTGTCCCGATCCGTACCTTGACAGCCACATGGATCTTCTCATGGTCCGGCACCAGGTTGTAGCACTCCGCAAGAAAGACTTTCCCAAAAGCTCCTTCTCCCAGCTCCCGTTTTAACACGATGTTATGCCTTTTGATGTGCTGAACAACTTTTAACAAAGAACACATCAAATCATTCACAACATGATGGTTTTATCTTTATTTTCAGTTCAATTAAATAAAAACATGCTTTATTTATCCAAGGGAAATTAAATGTGGTAGCTCTTTTTCAATGACTTGTTGTAGATGTTGATAGCTGTAGATAGGAGGGCTTTTCATTGGCAAAATATCTTTTAGTAGATATTTTGAAGTAGACATTAAAACTTTATGCTGTAGTGTCATTTTCAAAGCTCTGGTCAAGCTGTTGCAGCAGAGGCATGTTTTAACATTCTGTTTTGTATAAGATCCATGAATAACAACTTTTGTTACTTTGAAAATGTGGGTACGGTATGCACATCATGCAGACCTTTCTTTGTATAAAAATCCTAGCCAAAACATTTAGTTGCAGCATCAAAATCGTAGAGTTTTCATAAAATATTGAACCTAAAAGTTGCTCAGTACGACTCCTCCGCCAATTCAACTCTTAACATTTCAGAAGTTCCAGATCCTTACAGTTTACACCTGAAATATGCATCTTTTCATTTTCAAAACAAACAGCAATTCTTATTCACCTCATCACTCTTTGAATCTCTATCCTTCTAAAATTCTCACATAAAGGCCACATTTCTATAAGACCAGGATATGCTAGAAAAAAGTCAGCAGGTTTTCCCACTTGGTTAAAAAATGTTGAATTGAAAGAACAAACAATGCAATAAATCTACCACTGCTTGCACAGGAAGAAGGATCATTGTGTGACTTGTTACATTAAGGGGAATTTCATTCAGTACATCTTTTAAATAAAAACTATTAAATAAATGGTGAAATTTCTGTTCATTTTTATGCATTAAAAAAGTGTATTTATTATATTATTCATGATCATCATACTGTTATACTAAGGCAGTGAGTTGTTAGTAATGTTGTATGACAAAGTGATGTGTTGTCTTTTTCCCCTTTTATTTAGAGTAAAAAAACAAAAAAACAAAACTATTATTATTGTCAGCACTGCTTTGAATTACCTCAAAGAAATGTTTACAAAAGCTATTTGAGTTTTCTGCTCCGGTCTCTGCAAAGGTCTTTCTCCCACCATGTTTTTGTCTGTGTTTTTTATTAAGAAAGCAAACTAAAAATAGGTTAAATTGAAAATGAGATTCACGTTCTTTACACAGCAAATGACAAAAAAAAAAAGATGTAGAGTTTCAATATAATAAAACTTTTCTTTCTATGAAAATCTTTTATGGGCTTCACACTTGGCTCCTAGAGCAGGAGGAACTAAGGTAGGGAATGTGAATATAAATATATGGCGAACAGAAATGAATCCAATATGGATTTATCAGAAAAGGCTTCGGGTTAACAGAGGTTGGTCAAGCTAGGCGGTAACTCACACGTGTCAGGTTTCAGCATGCTACCGGAGTTACGGAAGTACTGCGGATTCTCAATGACAGGAATCTTTGTCATCCCAATGATCACTGCGTCTGGACCCATCTCCGAGGACGACGGGGTGTTGTTGCCATTGGAGACGTGATGAAGAGGGCTGGCAGAGTCATCGTCGTTGCTGATTACCGAGGAGGAGCCTAGGGACCCAGAGAGAAGGGGAAAGAAGGAGGTGGTCAGGAAAAAGGAGACGGAGAGATGGGCAGAGAAGAAGGTAAAGAGTAGGAGGTTGGTCATTAGGATAAAGGAGTAAGAGAAGATGGAAAGAGGAGAAGAGAGGTAAACAAGGTAAAGGGATGATGAAGTGTAAATGGATGGTTGGTACAACTACACCCTAATATTAGGTTTCTGCAAAATGTGACAGTAATTCAAGTCTAACACATATGCTGCATATAGATATATTAATTTATACAGGGAATACCAATAACAGTACTGATACATGATTATATATTAACTGCTTAACAAGGATCAACTGTTGCAGGCATTTTGGCAAAAACAAGCTAAATTATGGAATAACCTGAAAAAAACTCCCACCAATTCTTCCAAAAAGTCACATAGTGAGAAAAAAATACAACTATGTTTTTCTTCCATACAAGAAACACAGTTTATATCTTCTGTTCTGGCCTCTTGCATTAAGCGACTTTTAATTAAGCATTTTATAAATCCCTACATTTCTGCCATTTTTTGGGTTAAGAATAGGGTCTTTTAGAGTCTTGTAAAACCATTAACTTTCTCTCATATGCCTTTTTACAAAAACAAGTTTCAGTGCAATTTTTGTTTTATATGAGATCAGAAGAAAGCAGCTTATACTTTTGTATGAAAAAGAAAGATTTAAGAAGTTTATTTTTTAGCATAAGTATTCAGCACCAAATTACATTGTTACTCCTAAAATAAAAATAAAACAAACTGGATATCTTGATTGCTTACATAATTTCTAAAAGTAGCACTTATCATTGATGATCTCTATTCATCTTTGCATAAATGGTGATGTTCTGTGAAGGTTTTGTGTAAGAACATTAGTGACCCTACCATGAAGACCAAAGAACACAGCAGACAGAAAATGCTAAATGATGTCCAAGGAAGGAGCAAAAAATTTTAGATACGTACAAAGCTGGCACAAATACATTACCAAACACTTGCAAGGGTAACTACAGCAAACGTTTAGTCCTAACAAGTATGAATATAGGAAAAGGAGGAAATAGAAATGTTCAATGCACTCCAGATTTTTACTTAAAAAAAGTCCAGCAAAAAAAGAAAGTTCAAAGCCCACAAATACTTTGGCAGGACACAGGTTCTCTCTTGACAATTGGCTTTTCATATGCGTTTTTAGAACATTGTCAGAACAGAGAGCCAGAAAGTTTAGATTTCTAACAGTTTGCAAAAATACCTGAAAAAAAAAAAACAAGAACAAGGAATACATTTTTTAATATCCTCTCTGGAAAATGACAACCAATAGGCTTAATTCCTTTATTTATTAAAAAGAAAAAAAAACAAAACATATTTATTTTACCTTTAATACCAAAGCTTGAGTTTCGTCCATATTTCAGAATGATCACCATGAGGACACAGCCAGTCAAGGCAACACCAGCAATTCCCACAACGACATATACCTAGAAATTAAAAAAAAGAGCGATTAGGAATTCAGTGAAAAGTCCAAATAAACTGTAGCAATCACAATAAAATGCTGATCCCTATAAGTATAATTCCTGCTAACAGCGCGCGTAAAAAACAGTTTAGAGAAATTAAATATTTGCTTTAGTACATCAATGTGGTATCTGCTGTTGGATTTAGATCTGGAGTTTAAGATGACCATGGAAAAAAGGTTAATTTTGTGACAAAGAACTGAAGTCAGGTTTTAGATTATAAATCAGCTCAAGCTCTATTATAAGCTCTACTTCAAAGACAATAGTATGAGCTTAATCCAAAATATTTATATGGCAAGAGACACCTATGTTGATTTAAGGGGTCATAGAATGCAAAACCGAGTTTACATTGTCATAGATGAATAACGAAATGGACGTACAGAGCAGTTCAAACCCCATATCCCCCTATTTTCTCTGCAAATCTCACAAATCTAAACTTCCACCTTAAAACAGGTGAATGGAAACAAAGCCCCGAGTTGACGTAAACTCAGGGATGTTGCCCTATTTGGTTCTGGTCTGGTCCCGGTGGGGGGTGGGTGAAGTGTCGACGGCTGGACCGGACATGAGCCGTCTGCCTTACCTGCACCCGGTAAGGCAGACGGGGGGAAGCGCGGGGATGCCTGTGTCCAGGCTCACCAGGTCGGGTTCAGTCGCTCCGTACCCCCATTGGCTCCTGCCCCCGCCCGCCAGGGTTCCCGGACCAGCCCCGGAGCTTACGGCCCGGTTTTGTTGCACTGTAGTCGACCAAAATCCCAGACGATTTAGAAATTCTACCTGCACATCCTTTTAGGTATGAAAAGTAGGACATATCCAGGAAAAAGAGGACGTCTGGTCACTGTACCATATCAACAATATCGATGTTTCAGTGACTGAGTGCTTGTTGCTATGATGTGTCCTTGCTCAGCAGCTTTGCTTTCAGTGACTGAGTGCTTGTTGCTATGATGTGTCCTTGCTCAGCAGCTTTGCTCATAGTAAACCAACCAATCAGTGCACAGCTCATCTAAATAATCATGAGCATGCCATAAAAGGAAGAAAACCTGTTGTTTCATTCTAGGGCTTTTAAGCAGGCTTGCTCATAGAACAGCAAATATGTCATTTTCAGCCCAACCAATGTTACACACCCTATTTAGAGACCTTAAGGACCAGCACCAAATACCCTATATAATCATTCTATGACCCCTTTAAATTTCCTAGCACAGCAACAGCATCACTGGTCCCTTCTTTCCCTGGAAAGTGGAATGAAGAGCTTCTCCAAAATATCTTTTTTTTTTACTTTATACATAACTTGTTGTTATGAAGATTTGGTGACCAAATTTTTTTTAAGGTTTTTTCCACACCTACATGTAAAACAATAAAAAAAAGAATATTCAACGATATTCAACGATCAATAAATTGTAAACATATTTTAATTATAGAGGTTGTCAAAACATTGCATATGAATAGAAATGTTTTGGATGACTTACGGCAACGCTGTCGTCCAGAGGAGGGACTGGTGTATCTGGATGAATTTGGTAAAATCAGAATTATTGTCATGATTTTGTTGTTTGAAACTGCATGTCAACTTTGCAAAATCTAAAAAAAAAAACCTACCAGTGTCTGAGCAGAGGATGCAAACAGAAGGCAAGGGAGAGATAACAGATGGAAATCAGAAGACATTTTTGTTTTTTGGCAAAGTTATATTTTACATCAAACAAAGATAACTAGAGTAAATGCAAATTGTAGTTTTCAATCTATGATTCTATTCTGTAAAATGAGAAGCTATCTAAGACATTCTGACTTTGCATGAAGAAAACAATTCCCCATAAACCCCATTCAGGTTATGCTACCCTTGGTGGCTACAACTTTTAAATAACCAGTCTTTTATAATGCTGTGGGGAAATGTTGTTCCACTCGTCTTTATAAAAGTGTTTTTGACATACTAGAGGCTTTTTAAGTATAAACAACTGAGGACAATGCAGACTTTGACTATGTTCTCTATAAGTACTACTTTAATGTTGAATTTCTTTAACTAATTAGAGGCAGATTTTCTGTTGCATTCCACATTATCTCCATGCTACAGAACTCAAGTGTGCTTTAGCTCAAGGTCTCAAACAGACGGCTGGACATTTTCATACAAGATTTTCTTGTAGTCGGCCTCAGATTGTCACCCTAACACCATCATGTCTGACTGACAATTTTCTTCTTAAATGCTGGGGTAGTTCAGAGCTGATACAATGGGAAACACATTAATGGATTGATCAGTGCAGGAATCTTCAATGTTTTCCCGGCCAAGGACCCAAAACTGACGGCGAGATGGAGCAGGGACCCCCTAATTATATATATAGTATGAAATAGTGTTATATCAAACTGGTCCTATAGTCACTCTATTACAGATGGAGTAATGTACCGGAAGTAATTTTACCCTGGGATTATTAGAGTATTTCTGATTCTGATTCCTGGATGATGGGACAGGTGTTGTGAATGAAACGGTGCCCAGCTTGAAAGAGCACCTGTGTGTCGCTGAATGTGTGTACTGATGACTGAAAGACATCTTCTGCCTCCATTTATCTGTTTACTACAGTGAGTTTAATTCATGTTAATGTTTATGTTGTCTATGTTTATGTTGCACATTTCAATTAGTGGAAAAAAATGAAGAGGGGGAATATAAAAAAACAAAAGTCTAATCAACCAAAATTTTCGTGACCCCCATGCAGTACCTCTGTAGACCCCCTAGGGGTTGCGGACCCCCTGTTGATAATTTTTGTTTTCTTCCTTATTTTTTTATTCTATTGGTGAACCATTAACACTGACCTAAAATGGAAATAAAGTCTTTGACATTGGCTCAGCAGGAAAGTTTAGACATTTATTGCAGTAATTATAATTATCCATATATACTTTGAAATGTGAGGAAAATAAATACATCCATCAGGAAAAATACCATTTCATGACTCTCATTGTTTTATAAAACTGAAATAATACTTACAATAGTACTCATCTGTAAATGAAAGAAAAAAAAATTCAGCAGTTGACCTCAGAACAACACTTGGGCAATATTTGTATTTCAAAACACAAAGCAAACTGACCTGTTGGACTAATGTTTGGTGGATCAATGAACTGGGCAGTTACTGTTTTTTCATCCTGGCCATGTGCGTTTTTTGCCACTAGTGTGTATTCGCCATTATGGATGTGGGTGGGATTGACCAGCTGCAGGCAGCCGTGGTCCTCGTTCTCTGTGGACACGTGGATCATGGTGCGGATGTAGTCCTGCTCTTGGAGCAACTCGTTCCTATGGTACCAGAGCAGTTGAGGTTTGGGGTTTCCTGTCACAGTGAAGGGGATGCACCAGTGGTGGTCCCGTTCAGGACCCAAGAGTTGTTGGATGGTCGGGGGGACTAACAAGGAGGCAACAACAAAAGAAGAGCAGTCATGGGTATAATGGGAAATAAAAGGAAATATAGCTGGTAAAATACCTCTATGAGCTTAGAGAGGAGAGATGTAAGAAGAAATTATAGACTTGTTAAACATTTTTTCAACTCTGACGACAGGAAAGCAGAGGAGAAGAATGTACAGATGGGTATTAAACAAGCAGAAACACGTGGTGAGGCATAAAGAGCTTTACAGGAAGAATAGTTATGTACAGGAAACATGGAAAGTCAATAAGACTTGCCAGAAGACACTAATGATAACAAACCATGAGGACTTTTGCTTCCAAGAAAAACACATGATTTAGAAGAAAGCATTTAAATGCTCGTCACAAAGGAAATTAGATCAAACTGAATGCAGCAATGTAAACAAGATTTCTACAAATGTAGGCCGTATTTGATGTCCTTACAAGTAATGTTGAGCTGAAGCGTGGCTTCAGTCTGACCGACCATGTTCTCAGCGCTGCATACAATCACCCTGCCATTATCATCAGGAGACAGGTCTGACAAGTTGAGGATACTCTCAGTTTCCATAGAGTGAATCTGCAAAGGTAAGATTATTGGATCAGTTATGCATTCTATGTAAACTTGCTTGATTCCTACAGAAAGAAAACAGCTAATAACTAGTGACATTCCACACTGATATGCAATTTATATATATAAAATAAAAGCAACTAAAAATCATTATAGAAACTAAAGAAAAAATATCAACACAGTTACTTTCAAATACTTAAAATTACAGTTCATATTTAATCTTTTTGTGTGGAAAAAGTAAAGCAAAGTCTTCACTAATATTTCTTTAAATAACGTATATGAAAAATTCTTACAAAGGGTAGTAAATATCGGATTTCCATGCACAACTAAACATATAGAACTGTAAGTTGCTAAGAAGCAAATCTCAGGAGTAGCAGAGTTTGAAATAAAACCTAACTGTTTTATCTTATTTTATTAAACACTGAACCCCACTATGAAGTCTTTCTGTACGGAGTCTGTACGTTGGCATCGTGCAGGTTCGTCTTCCCCCCACAGTCCAGACACATGAATGTAACACGGGTTAACTGGTCTCTAAAATCCCCCTAAGGTCTGACTGTGTGCTGGCATGGTTGATGTTTGTCTCTTTGTTTCCCTGTGATGTCTTTTCATAACAGGTCAAACAAAGGATTTGCTCAAAAACTGCTAGAAATGGCACCAGCCCCACCGCAACCCTGCTATGATAAGAGAGTTATAGACAAGGAAAGGATAAAAATCTAGGTCACCAAATAATTGGCTTCCAAACAGTGATAATTTCCTGAATAGAATGAGTTACCTTAGACTGGTTTCTTAAAACCAAAATAAAAAGGAAATGGGCTCTTATTCTACGAAAAGAACTGATCAACTAGGTCCGGCTTCATTCAAAGAACTGTAAATCCTTTTTTCTTCCCGCCATGTAGGACATTGAATTTATCAAAACACACCCCTAAGAATGGTCCAAATTCACTAATTTATTAAAAAGTTATATATAATTATCTACATTATTTGGCTTAATATAAACTTAATATAAATTTGTAACAGCCTAAACTTTAAACAGAACAGTTTAAGACAGTTTAACACCAACAAGGGAGAAACTCAGTTTTATGTGTTTAATATTGAAGTTAGCGAAATGTATTAGATACATTTTAAATCATCAAACATTTGGAATTGGATAAATCCTAAATAACAAAAATTAAGAACACTAACTGCTATTCACACGATAATGAACAAGTGAAATAGTTAGCTTTACAGTAAGCGAAATAACTTAGAGTCAAGGATGTTTGTATCTAATAGCCTAATAGAAACATTACAGAGTCTGAAATAACTTAAACAAGGAAAGCATAGATTCTTAGAGTGCATTTGTTGTATAGAAATTTTTAATTAGTTGTTGTACCAGGGATTTATTTTCATATATTTACTCATCCATTGCTTAAATGTATTTACAGTGTCATAGAGACACACATAACCAGGACATTAACAGATCTAAGGAAGGCACCTCAACCTCAAAGTCTTCTTTTGAAACTCTTGGAGGAAGCTGGAGTGCCTGGAGGGAACGCCTGAATGCACAGAGATACCATGCAGGAGCCAGGCTGGTTGACTACTACAGTGCTATAAGGTTACAGTAATAACAGCATCATGCAGCCCTTAGTTAGATTTAATCCAATAACATGTTAGATAAAAAAATAAATCATCTATTTAAGGTTACACATCAGCACTAAGAAATCTTTATCTGCTTTTTTTTTTTTTACTCGCTTCAAAATCCAATTGCAATTTGAGAACAAATATAGTTCATTTTTACTAATGTGGAATTGCAGGGATCTTTTGTTAAACTAACGAAAGCCAACAGAGCACTCTTTTATTTAAGGAGGCAGTGAAAACATTAAACAAACATACAAGTTGGCTAAGTAATCACTTCACACTTCCCACCCAGACCTCAGTTCAGCTGTAAAATTCCAACCTGTGTGACTGACTGCTAATGAGGTGGGGTCAGCCCCATTCCCTTCACACACTAACAGATTTTTCTGCCAGCTAGGACTAGGGGAGAATTGCGCAGAAGGAAAATTGTAAAAAAGGAAATCTTGTTGAGTTTCCTCTGGTTTAGATGACCTACAGAAAATGAAAAACAATAAAGGCCTCTCATACTTAAAAGTGGCCAATTTGAAGATATAATATTTGAAATAAAACAACTAAGATTGTGTTTTCACTTAAACTGAAGCTGACAATCATGAAATATAAGTCATTAAATAATTCGCATTACCGACATTTATTCTTTTACAATACTGAAAAAAGCACTATAATCTTTTTTAGGGGCAAATGATTAGAAGGGTTTAACAGCTTTTTGAAGGAGACCTGAGTCCCTGGGTGTTGCAGTGAAAGTGAACACCATGGTATGAAGAGGAAGCTTAGTAAAGCTTAGAAATCAGTCATATGATGAAGAAATAATCTACAATATGTTGAAATCTTAGCTCTTTATGAAAAATAGTGGAACTGGACAAAACTTTGTCAGAGAGAATAAAGACAAATAACTGGACTTTGGAGTAGTGTTCATTTAACTGAATTGTTTAACACACAGAACATGACTGGCATGGACCACACATATTTTTTTTTAGGGAGAATAACCTTGTACAAGCTGTGATGGATAGATATTTAAATGTCATGGTCTGGTGAGGTTTTGCTGCAGTTTTGTCCTCGCTACCTTAAGAAAATTCCCCTTAACTTCTACCATAGCTCAGAGGATTCTTTAGGAAAACGGGAAACCCCACTGCAAAAAGCTGAAGCAGAACTGCCCTTTGGAAAAAAGACCTAAAACAGATAATTAAATCCATCATGGATTGGCTAAATTCCTGTGCCAAGTCAAAGCTGCGATTTGATCTCAATAAATGGTCTGAGGAAATTGGCAGCACATCGGGAACCTTTCAGACATCTCACAGCTACAAGTGTGAGAAGTTTAAATTTTCTTGTGTTTACCTCTTAAAATCTCTTTATTCTCTATTGATTGACATACAATACAGTGAGGAAAATAAGTATTTGAACACCATGCTATTTTGCAAGTTCTCCCACTTAGAAATCATGGAGGAGTCTGACATTGTCATCATATAGGTGCATGTCCACTGTGAGTGATATTCAGAAATCCCAACATATGATTTTTTACTATTTATTTGTATGATACAGCTGCAAATAAGTATTTGAAAAAAGAAAAGACCTGTTTGTCTGCTTTCAAAATGTGCACCTCCACTCCATTTATTATCCTAAATTAGATGAATCTGATTGAGGTCGTTAGCTGCATAAAGACACCTGTCCACCCCATACAATCAGTAAGAATCCAACTACTAACATGGCAAAGACCAAAGAGCTGTCCAAAGACACTAGAGACAGAATTGTACACCTCCACATGGCTGGAAAGGGCTATGGGGAAATTGACAAACAGCTTGGAGAAAAAGGTCCACTATTAGAACAATCATTAGAAAATGGAAGAAGCTAAACATGACTGTCAATCTCCCTCCGACTGGGACTCCATGCTTGATCTCACCTGGTGGGGTCTCAGTGATCCTAAGGAAGGTGAGAAATCAGAAACACAGAACTACACAGGAGGAGCTGGTCAATAACCTGAAAGAGCTGGGACCACCATTTCCAAGGTTACTGTTGGTAACATGTGCTGCTTACACCAGCACATGTCAAGACCCATCTTAAGTTTGCCAATGATCATTTGGATGACCCAGAGGAGTCATGGGAGAAAGTCGTGTGGTCAGACGGGAACAAAATAGAACATCTTGGTCATAACCGTGTTTGGAGGAAGAAGAATGATGAGTACCACTACCATCCCAAGAACACCATCCCTACTGTGGCGGTGGCTTTCACTGCATGGGACAGGGCTATTGCACTGTAGAGAGGAGGACCGGGGTCATGTATTACAAGATTTTGGGGAACAACCTCCTCTAACCTCCAGTTAGAGCACTGAAGCTGGGTGGAGGCTGGGTCTTCCAACATGACAATGATCTGAAGCACACAGCCAGGATAACCAAGGAGTGGCTCTGGAAGAAACATATCAAGGTTCTGGTGTTGCCTACCCAGTCTCCAAACCTAAACCCAATAGAGAATCTATGGATGAAGCTCAAACTCTGTGTTTCTCAGTGACAGCTGTAAAGTCTGTCAGGAATTGGAGACAGAGACACAACAGACTGCAAGGAACAAAGCGACCTTTTAATTCAAACACTTGCAAGTGGAGAGCGTCACAGTTACACAGAATTTTTCAGTAAGCTCTAACTGGGATGGATCATCCTCCCTACATATAGATCACTTTCGTGGGTAAAAGAGGTCACAAAACATTAACAGAAACTCTTCTGCACAGATATTCATCCTGTTATGAAACTCTGCTAAGTTTCTGCAGAGTCATCTTACACCCTTGTGACCCTCAATAATACACTGCTCGCATAAAAAAAAGATATAAGTTGAACATACAATTTTTACTTCGCACAGCCCAGAAACCTGACTGAGGATTTGTGTGCGCGGAGTACTCCGCCTCTCAAGACATGTGAAAGTGGACATCAGCCTTCCCTTGCATATTATCCACCTTACAGCCATTTGGGATTAGATTATTCCAACATTAAATAGAGGTTGAAGTTAAACCATCTCACCTCGAAGGGGGATAAGATCATATCAAGGTTCCACAGGATCATTGGAACAGGGGAGCCTGAGGCACTGCACACAGCTTCAACATTACCCCCCTTCTTCACAGTCACACTTTTGGGTTTTAGCTCGACTTTGGGAACCACTGCAATTAAGAAAAACATCACATGTCACAATATATCACATTATGTCTCTATCTTTCGATCCAATCTTTATGTCTTAATGAAACCCAACAATGCTTTACATTACCACAGTCTGGTGGAGTGAGTGTGGCAAAGTCCCTTGTCTCTCCTCTTTCATCAGTGCATGTTAACTCTAGATTGTCGATGTCTTCTTGGAGTCGTAGTTTGATCCACAAGTTCTCACAAACACAATCCAGAGGGTTTCCAGATAGAAGAAGCCTTCAAAGAAACAAACAAGCACATTAAAGACAGTGTGAAAAAAGAGGATGTTGGGCAACTGACAGTTTTGCGTAAATGTGTCAACTTACGGAGATGTAACGTTGAAGTTCTGAAACGTTCTCCATGACAGCATTGAGAGATTGTTATCTCTGAGATTTCTGAGAAAAGAAGGACAAAAGCTATGAAAAGCCAAATAGGGGGAAGAGCTGTGACAAAATAACTCGAGAAATAAGATGCTGCTTACACATATTGAAGTTTTGTGTTGTTATAAAATGCATCTAAGGATATAGATGTCAATCTTGTCCTCGTCACCGTTCTGTTGAAAGTTACAATGCACATTAACTGTTGATCAGATAAATTTGTTGCTGAGACAATCAGTGTGATACTTACAGGTTTCTGAGGTTTATGTAGTGCCGCAAACTGCTGTCACTGATTTCAAATAATCTGTTTTGATAGGCAATGTATCTGTTGAAGGAGATGAAACCAGATGTTAAATCTATTATATTATTAAATTATCTTATATAAAATTATAAAATGATTTTAAGGTATTGAATTCTATTTTAGAAAATTATAAGCATTTTTAATTTTAAAATGTGGATATTGTAGCTGAAGCATATTGTTATTTTTGTTAAAAGTAAGCAAGTATAGTTTTTTTGCTATTATTTAATCAGAACTTCCAATCTAATCAAAAATGTCAATTTACACAGAAATTTCACAAAATATGCCGCTTAAAATGATACAAACTAGACATCAAACCCGCATCTATGATCGCCAACACCTGCTGGAGCTACGGTCACAAAATGTTTTAAATGCTGGCATTTATGACCGTTTAAAAAAGCGGCAGAGTGCTATGGATGGATGTCAACAAAACAACAGCGGAAAATAACGGATGGAGGAAGAGATGCGCGAGACGGAGAAAGCGAGGTTGCAGAGGGGGGCCTAACTGCGAAGCTAAAGAGAGATCCCCACAGACCATCGCTTCCATCAATCCTGCTCTCCAATGTCCACTCATTGGAAAGAAAAAGTGAGATATGTAACTGCTGCGCCATCATTCTGACAGGGTCTTCGCCGGATGGTGCTGTTGGCCTGGGGGAGCTGATGCTGTACAGCACCGATTGAAACAAAGAGCGTGAGTGACTGTTCCCAGGCAATCTCCGGCATCTAGAGGGGAAGCACAGTCCTCTGCAGGTGAAAATGAGCAGAGAACTCGAGATGCTTCCCGCCCAAATGCTCAAACATCCACAGCTGGCTCCTCCCGGCCCCCTCCGGCTTCCACACCTTCTCCAGCATTGTCTGTCGCTGCTAAATCTGCCAATGGCACCACTGCTGCTTCAACCACGTCAGCCTCTTCAACCCAGGGGGCTACCACCCTCACAGCATCCTCATCATCTTCCTCTTCCTCCCCTGAGCCAGGAGAAGGAGTGCTTCAGGAGCTGGAGGCAGTGGTAGCAGCTCAACAACAACTGCTGCTACCTTATTAAGGCTGCACTTTAAAAAATTAAATTGTCAAGAGAGCTGTTCTAAACAAAATGTCTTTTATTTACACTTGTGTATACAAAATGACAAAATAAATCTGTCTAAGTCTAAGAACTGTCCAGTGGGACAGTTGGTGGTGCTACACAGACAGAAAGTTCAGGGTTAAATATCCAGTCTTGGGACTTTCTGGAGCTTGCATGTTACCCTGTGTATGCACAGGTTCTCTCCTGATACTCAATTTTCACCACATGACTGTTTGGGCAATTGACTGTTCCAAAGTGACATTTGGGTGTGAGTCCATGTGGTGTGTCTGTTGCATTGTGACGGACTGGCAACCAGCTCATGGAACACTATAGTCCTGCTATTACCCTCAGGGGATAAATGGGTATTGATAATGGAAAGAGAAAAGAATTTTTGATACTTAGCATCTAAATGTGAAATAACATTTAAATAGAACACCTAAAACATTTTTTTTAAGCTTTGATGAGATAAATTAGTATATAATTGTGACATGCAGCTGACCACAAATACCAGCAGATTACTTTGCATGAAACACAACTTCAAATATTTTTCAACTGAGCTTCTCCTCATTTTATGCTGTTTTGCATGATTGGGGAAATCAGTAAGTTGGCCATTCATCCAATGTCAACACCCCCTAAAAGTAGGGTTTTTGTTGAGCTGGGCAGCAGTCACCAGAACTCATTGGTTTGAGAGGCAGGGTTCACCCTGGACATGTGATCCGTTCCTAACCAGCCAACGCAGACACATGCGCTAAACAACCATGCACAAAGTCACTCATACCTGAAGGGAAACTGTTCGTAGACTGTTTGTTAGCACCTGAAAAAATCCCTAAAATACAGAGGGGGGCATGCAAACCTCATACAGAAAGTTCAGGATTACAGCACAGGGCCTTTTTGTTATGATCTGATGACAACTGATGGCTGGCTTGATTGCTCATTTCATTCACCTGTCTAGCTCTGCCCTGTTTCTCATACTTGCTCATCTGATCCACCTTCTCCAGCTTCTATTTAAACTCCTTGGTCCCAGCCATCTGTGCCAGATTATTCTTGAGCCTTTGGTGCAGAGAATTTTCGAGCGTTACTTTTAGTGTTCTGTTTGCCTGAGCCTGACCTGTTTCTGTATTCGGACNCATGTCCACTGTGAGTGATATTCAGAAATCCCAACATATGATTTTTTACTATTTATTTGTATGATACAGCTGCAAATAAGTATTTGAAAAAAGAAAAGACCTGTTTGTCTGCTTTCAAAATGTGCACCTCCACTCCATTTATTATCCTAAATTAGATGAATCTGATTGAGGTCGTTAGCTGCATAAAGACACCTGTCCACCCCATACAATCAGTAAGAATCCAACTACTAACATGGCAAAGACCAAAGAGCTGTCCAAAGACACTAGAGACAGAATTGTACACCTCCACATGGCTGGAAAGGGCTATGGGGAAATTGACAAACAGCTTGGAGAAAAAGGTCCACTATTAGAACAATCATTAGAAAATGGAAGAAGCTAAACATGACTGTCAATCTCCCTCCGACTGGGGCTCCATGCATGATCTCACCTGGTGGGGTCTCAGTGATCCTAAGGAAGGTGAGAAATCAGAAACACAGAACTACACAGGAGGAGCTGGTCAATAACCTGAAAGAGCTGGGACCACCATTTCCAAGGTTACTGTTGGTAATAGACGTCATGGTTTGAAATCATGCATGGCACGGAGGGTTCCCCTGCTTAAACCAGCACATGTCAAGACCCATCTTAAGTTTGCCAATGATCATTTGGATGACCCAGAGGAGTCATGGGAGAAAGTCGTGTGGTCAGACGGGAACAAAATAGAACATCTTGGTCATAACCGTGTTTGGAGGAAGAAGAATGATGAGTACCACTACCATCCCAAGAACACCATCCCTACTGTGAAGCATCATGCTTTGTCGGTGGCTTTCACTGCATGGGACAGGGCTATTGCACTGTAGAGAGGAGGACCGGGGTCATGTATTACAAGATTTTGGGGAACAACCTCCTCTAACCTCCAGTTAGAGCACTGAAGCTGGGTGGAGGCTGGGTCTTCCAACATGACAATGATCTGAAGCACACAGCCAGGATAACCAAGGAGTGGCTCTGGAAGAAACATATCAAGGTTCTGGTGTTGCCTACCCAGTCTCCAAACCTAAACCCAATAGAGAATCTATGGATGAAGCTCAAACTCTGTGTTTCTCAGTGACAGCTGTAAAGTCTGTCAGGAATTGGAGACAGAGACACAACAGACTGCAAGGAACAAAGCGACCTTTTAATTCAAACACTTGCAAGTGGAGAGCGTCACAGTTACACAGAATTTTTCAGTAAGCTCTAACTGGGATGGATCATCCTCCCTACATATAGATCACTTTCGTGGGTAAAAGAGGTCACAAAACATTAACAGAAACTCTTCTGCACAGATATTCATCCTGTTATGAAACTCTGCTAAGTTTCTGCAGAGTCATCTTACACCCTTGTGACCCTCAATAATACACTGCTCGCATAAAAAAAAGATATAAGTTGAACATACAATTTTTACTTCGCACAGCCCAGAAACCTGACTGAGGATTTGTGTGCGCGGAGTACTCCGCCTCTCAAGACATGTGAAAGTGGACATCAGCCTTCCCTTGCATATTATCCACCTTACAGCCATTTGGGATTAGATTATTCCAACATTAAATAGAGGTTGAAGTTAAACCATCTCACCTCGAAGGGGGATAAGATCATATCAAGGTTCCACAGGATCATTGGAACAGGGGAGCCTGAGGCACTGCACACAGCTTCAACATTACCCCCCTTCTTCACAGTCACACTTTTGGGTTTTAGCTCGACTTTGGGAACCACTGCAATTAAGAAAAACATCACATGTCACAATATATCACATTATGTCTCTATCTTTCGATCCAATCTTTATGTCTTAATGAAACCCAACAATGCTTTACATTACCACAGTCTGGTGGAGTGAGTGTGGCAAAGTCCCTTGTCTCTCCTCTTTCATCAGTGCATGTTAACTCTAGATTGTCGATGTCTTCTTGGAGTCGTAGTTTGATCCACAAGTTCTCACAAACACAATCCAGAGGGTTTCCAGATAGAAGAAGCCTTCAAAGAAACAAACAAGCACATTAAAGAGAAAAAAAAGAGGATGTTGGGCAACTGACAGTTTTGCGTAAATGTGTCAACTTACGGAGATGTAACGTTGAAGTTCTGAAACGTTCTCCATGACAGCATTGAGAGATTGTTATCTCTGAGATTTCTGAGAAAAGAAGGACAAAAGCTATGAAAAGCCAAATAGGGGGAAGAGCTGTGACAAAATAACTCGAGAAATAAGATGCTGCTTACACATATTGAAGTTTTGTGTTGTTATAAAATGCATCTAAGGATATAGATGTCAATCTTGTCCTCGTCACCGTTCTGTTGAAAGTTACAATGCACATTAACTGTTGATCAGATAAATTTGTTGCTGAGACAATCAGTGTGATACTTACAGGTTTCTGAGGTTTATGTAGTGCCGCAAACTGCTGTCACTGATTTCAAATAATCTGTTTTGATAGGCAATGTATCTGTTGAAGGAGATGAAACCAGATGTTAAATCTATTATATTATTAAATAATCTTATATAAAATTATAAAATGATTTTAAGGTATTGAATTCTATTTTAGAAAATTATAAGCATTTTTAATTTTAAAATGTGGATATTGTAGCTGAAGCATATTGTTATTTTTGTTAAAAGTAAGCAAGTATAGTTTTTTTGCTATTATTTAATCAGAACTTCCAATCTAATCAAAAATGTCAATTTACACAGAAATTTCACAAAATATGCCGCTTAAAATGATACAAACTAGACATAAAACCCGCATCTATGATCGCCAACACCTGCTGGAGCTACGGTCACAAAATGTTTTAAATGCTGGCATTTATGACCGTTTAAAAAAGCGGCAGAGTGCTATGGACGGATGACAACAAAACAACAGCGGAAAATAACAGACGGAGGAAGAGATGCGCGAGACGGAGAAAGCGAGGTTGCAGAGGGGGGCCTAACTGCGAAGCTAAAGAGAGATCCCCACAGACCATCGCTTCCATCAATCCTGCTCTCCAACGTCCACTCATTGGAAAGAAAAAGTGAGATATGTAACTGCTGCGCCATCATTCTGACAGGGTCTTCGCCGGATGGTGCTGTTGGCCTGGGGGAGCTGATGCTGTACAGCACCGATTGAAACAAAGAGCGTGAGTGACTGTTCCCAGGCAATCTCCGGCATCTAGAGGGGAAGCACAGTCCTCTGCAGGTGAAAATGAGCAGAGAACTCGAGATGCTTCCCGCCCAAATGCTCAAACATCCACAGCTGGCTCCTCCCGGCCCCCTCCGGCTTCCACACCTTCTCCAGCATTGTCTGTCGCTGCTAAATCTGCCAATGGCACCACTGCTGCTTCAACCACGTCAGCCTCTTCAACCCAGGGGGCTACCACCCTCACAGCATCCTCATCATCTTCCTCTTCCTCCCCTGAGCCAGGAGAAGGAGTGCTTCAGGAGCTGGAGGCAGTGGTAGCAGCTCAACAACAACTGCTGCTACCTTATTAAGGCTGCACTTTAAAAAATTAAATTGTCAAGAGAGCTGTTCTAAACAAAATGTCTTTTATTTACACTTGTGTATACAAAATGACAAAATAAATCTGTCTAAGAACTGTCCAGTGGGACAGTTGGTGGTGCTACACAGACAGAAAGTTCAGGGTTAAATATCCAGTCTTGGGACTTTCTGGAGCTTGCATGTTACCCTGTGTATGCACAGGTTCTCTCCTGATACTCAATTTTCACCACATGACTGTTTGGGCAATTGACTGTTCCAAAGTGACATTTGGGTGTGAGTCCATGTGGTGTGTCTGTTGCATTGTGACGGACTGGCAACCAGCTCATGGAACACTATAGTCCTGCTATTACCCTCAGGGGATAAATGGGTATTGATAATGGAAAGAGAAAAGAATTTTTGATACTTAGCATCTAAATGTGAAATAACATTTAAATAGCACACCTAAAACATTTTTTTTAAGCTTTGATGAGATAAATTAGTATATAATTGTGACATGCAGCTGACCACAAATACCAGCAGATTACTTTGCATGAAACACAACTTCAAATATTTTTCAACTGAGCTTCTCCTCATTTTATGCTGTTTTGCATGATTGGGGAAATCAGTAAGTTGGCCATTCATCCAATGTCAACACCCCCTAAAAGTAGGGTTTTTGTTGAGCTGGGCAGCAGTCACCAGAACTCATTGGTTTGAGAGGCAGGGTTCACCCTGGACATGTGATCCGTTCCTAACCAGCCAACACAGACACATGCGCTAAACAACCATGCACAAAGTCACTCATACCTGAAGGGAAACTGTTCGTAGACTGTTTGTTAGCACCTGAAAAAATCCCTAAAATACAGAGGGGGGCATGCAAACCTCATACAGAAAGTTCAGGATTACAGCACAGGGCCTTTTTGTTATGATCTGATGACAACTGATGGCTGGCTTGATTGCTCATTTCATTCACCTGTCTAGCTCTGCCCTGTTTCTCATACCTGCTCATCTGATCCACCTTCTCCAGCTTCTATTTAAACTCCTTGGTCCCAGCCATCTCTGCCAGATTATTCTTGAGCCTTTGGTGCAGAGAATTTTCGAGCGTTACTTTTAGTGTTCTGTTTGCCTGAGCCTGACCTGTTTCTGTATTCGGACCTTTAAGCCTGCCTACCCCTGTCTGATCTGTTTTCCTGGCCTGTCTTCGAACTCCTGTTAGAGTCTTCTGTGGACTGAACCTGGATCTGCCTCTTGACTTCACCCTGTGGATTATCCTGCCTTCCTTCATCTACTCGGATCTGATCTCCTGTCACGTCTGCAGCCTTTTAGGCTTCAGAGTCGGGAACTCTCTGGTAGCGTCTGCTGTGTCTTGTCAGCCGACCGGCTGGAATCATCCTCATTCTCTGAGCATGGACTGAACTATCAAACAAGGTTAGATCCTCTGTCAGATTATCATAGTAACTAAACTGTAGACGTTCTTGTGATTATACGCCCCAGCCGCTGCTTCTGCAGACCCGTTGGTTTGAATAAACCCTCTTAGTTATTCCACTGTCTTTCCTGAATTCTGGGTTCTCTGTTCTGAGTCCTGACAAAAGTGTTGCCAACGGTGGCATCATGTAGCCCAGGATGTTGTTTAAAAATAAAAGGAATTTCATGTTAAACAATACAGACTTATCTGATTTTACGTATCTCGATTTTTGTAAACAGTAAAAGGGTAGACTGTGCAAAATCTAACTTATTTGCCACAAGGCCAAGTTGATTGAAAAGTTGTTTTAAATAACAATACAGTTTGTTTTCAATTTAGCCGTCATGGTATGATAAAAAGAAAACCTTTATTTATTTTGTTAAAACAAATGCCTGATTTACGCCAGAAATGGACAGTTTTTATCAAAAAATTATGACCCTTTTTTTAGTGAAGTCAAGACACCAAGAGGGGAAAAAAAGAACCAAATATGTTGACATAAAAGAAGACTTAGCTGAACTTCTTCCAGCGTATAAGAAAAAATAAGGGGTAAGATGGCAATATGATACTGCATAATAATCTTGATGTCAGGAGGTGTGTCAGTAAGTTCAGTTTATTTTCCAAAGGTATCATTAGCCGTCTACTTGCTAAATAGTTGGAATAAACAAAAGCTACTGAGCCTTAGCTTAGAAATGATGTCTAAAGAACTGGTTTGTAAAGTCAGTCGTTGGTCATAGACAAGAGGGGGTACTCTTCTTGTAACATTCAATCTGTATATCAATTATGCAGCTACCATTTTTTCCTCCAACAACTTGGTTGGTGTTTTAACTACTGGCTTTCCTGCCCCCTCAAAATTCATCTTCAGAGATTTTCATTAATAAAAACAGCAAACTCTCAGAATTCTGTTTCTGTTTTTTATTCCTGTTATCAACATAGACGGGGCTCATTGTTGAAAACTAAGTTTTGAATCATTTTCCTGTTGATAAATATAATTATTGAAAGAAACCAAATAGTTTGTTTCTAATTTGGCATTTGAACATTATGGTAGGTCACATATGTCTTTCAAAAAAATGGATTAAGTAATCACATTGTAATAATATTATTAGTTTACTTTGAAAATTGAATAAAAGATAAAAAAAAATTTTTTACGATGATATGTTTCCCTGGTTCTTTTTGGGCTTAAATAGACATTTCTCACTTTAACTCATTTTGGTGATTAGAAATATGACACAGTATGTTGGGAGAAACAACCACCCATCTGTACGGAATTAAACCAGCCTCAGTATGGATTTATGAATATTTCACACATGACATGAATAAAAAAAGAAAACAAAAATAACAAAAAAGCTGGTAGAACAGTAGCTTCTGCCAACAGGAAGATTTCATCAGTTTTTTTTATTTTTATGAAAGCAGTTATGTAGTAATTAAGTACATCATGATACAGCAATTTAATTGCCTGTATCATAGCTTTGAGTGTAGACCGATATTACTATCAACCAGATATGATCCCAGCACATATGATGCATACATTTCTTACTCTTAGTGTGAAATGTTAAAATATGCTGAATCAAGTGATTTTACTCAAAAGACAGTCAGCAACAACAGGCATGAGAGCAACTAACCCATGTACATTCAACCAAGGTTACATAAACTTTTATAACTTTGTCAACTTGCATTTATCTGAAATTTTTGGTGCAGGCATTTTTTCTTTTTTTCTTTTTCAAAATAAATATAGGACTTTGACATTCCGGGTCTTATTTGCTTGTATCATTTGTTTACCTTTAAAACACAAGTTTAGTTTAGACAAAACTCCAAAATTATTATTCTGCAAATATCAAAAACAAGATAAAGATTGATATTGATCAATAAGATTAAGAGGAAGAGTGCCCCCAATCAAATTCTGCCCATGCCCCTGTTTAACCTTTGGCCAGCTCTGCAAATTGGGTTACTCTCAACCCATTAGCTTTCACAGTTTGTGAAGAGATCTTTTAGGAACTGTATTTATTACAGTTCAGCCTAACAGATAAAGTAATGCAATTTTTGCCACGCTTAAAATCTGATTAGTCTGCTTTCACTAGCAATACGATACTATAGCCATACCCTATGCAAAGAGCCGGCTGCTGTACCCGCTCCTTTCCCAATCTGCACAAAATGAAGGTTCATTTCCCACAAAAGGGGCGCCTAACATCCATGATGGCTCCAGCGCGTCTGCCTCAGAAAACTAAACCCAGTCTCCACTCTTCTCCGTGCAGTTGTAGGCTGTGTGGACCTCTGCAGCGCTGTAACAGGCACACTCACAGGCCTACACACTGACGCAGATAAGGGCGCACAACTCCAGCCAGCCTATTGCCAGCTGAACGCAACTGATATGATCTCATGTGTAATCTGTCAACAGTGTGGTCATTTTGAAATATTGAGGGTATCTCACACCAGCTACCACCCCATTTATTTATTTATTTATTTTATTATTCCTCCTTATAAAAAAAAGAGTGAGGAACCTGGAGGCTTTACTGCTGCTGGGCCAGATCGTTTTACTCCAGCACTCTTTACCTCTGGAGCCGTTTTAGGGAGAACAACACATTAATCCAAAATAAGCGTGACGCGCACCGCCTTTACGCACATATACATGCACGCGCGCCACTATCTCTTGCGCGCAACATATATATATATATATATATATATATATATATATATAGGTGTAATTGAGATCTCTGCCTTATAAGTTGATAGGATCATTTTTACCCCACACATACTTACATTTCGGTGATGTTTTCCATGTCATCTAACGTAAGGACAGGGAAATCCTCGATCCCCGGTTCAGGATCAATACAAGCAATCCTTGAGATGGTGCATGTGCAGGATTCGGGGCAATAGGAGTCTCCGGATCTCCACAGCCCCATCAAAAGCACAAACAATCCAAAACGAGCCATGCCATATTCCCCCGCGCTGGAGTCCATCGCGGGGCCAATGAATATATCCTACCCCACGAATCCCCCACGACAGAACGGAATCTGGTCAAACTAAATGATTGGGATTTTTTTTTTTCTTGATGAACTTATATCTTCCACTCAAAAAGAAGAAGTAGGTGGGATTTTAAAAAAAAAAAAAAAAGAGGAAGAAAAAAGATTGTGCTGTCAGTGAGGAATGCGCAAAGCCCACGGTTTTAATATCAAGATGCCATGGACTGGCCTTCTCCGTCTCCGCAGAGCTGATATCGCGCTACCGCATATCGATGCCGTGAAGAAAGATGTCAAGTGGTCCGTCCTGCTGCTGCTGCTGCTGCTGGATCTCTCCTCTTTTTGCGGCTTGCCTTCAGCTGCTCCAGATGTTCAGGGATCAATAGGCAGGAGCTCCCAGCGTGCGTATATGTGCGCCGATGGGGAGGAAAAAGCTGCACAGCGGAGTAAAGGGATGCGTGGTGATGCTGCGTGTGTAGGGGAGGAAGGCTACCTGCATCCGTCTATCGATCATCACAGAGGACGGGCGCAGCTCCGAGCCATCTCATATGGGGGGGTGGGGGGTTGGTTGCGATGGTGATTTTATGTCTGACTTAGATGCCGCAGAAAGAATCTGCGTCGATTAAAAAAAAATGCATCCAAAAACTTAACAGGGGGTGCAGCAGTTTTTATTATGCAGGGTGCTAATAAAGGGGGCCAGCCTTGGGTCAAAGGGCCCACCCGTCAACAACGACACAGACAAACTCTACTGTTGTGGCCACTCTGAAGCAATGCGATAGATGAAAGCTGAGTCTTTTTTTTCCATAACAACGCTGTTGTACGGCTGCCCATTAGGCCTGGTGTGACGTGCGGGTGACGCACAAGTCGGGGTGCATCTATGAAAAATAATTACCTATACTATGTCTGCAAACTTCAAATAGGTCTCACTCCAATCACAGAGCACAGCACAGATGGATGTCTGTTGTTTTGTTCCTCACTGTCTGAGCAGCATTTTTAGCTTCTTTTTCTTACTTTCTGCTCATTTTATAGGAGTAAAAAAGCATCAAGTCAGATTTCAACTTGAAAATATCTTAGAATAAACATGACCTAAATGCAATAAGGTGCGTCTCAGTAAAAAAAAAAATTATCTCACACCTACATCAGAAGATTCACCTGTTTTCTTCATTTCAGATTTGGCAGTAAATTTGCATCTAGGATTAAAAAAAATATTATTGGAGAATTGTTGTCAAAAAACTTACCACAGACTGCAGCAGTTATATTTTGCAAGCTGCTAACTAGTAGAGTGGCCAGCTTTCAATCCAAGGGCCCACATGTCAACAATGACAAACATAATCCTACTGTTGTCGTTACTATGAAGCACCTTCTTCATCAAGAAGAGTTGAAAACAAAGTGCTGACATTAAAATCTTCAGATAAAAGGAAAGACATGAGTATTCATGAAATGTTAAGATATGTGCCCTTTGGCTTTCAGCCATTTCTGAAATTAACAGAAATAGTTTGAGACTCATTACAATGAGATATGAGGATCACTATTTGTTACGCCCCCAAGGTCTAGGGGTTCTGGGGAGGCAACATAAAAATGTGTCCAGAGCAAATAAGTGGAATGTAAAGATGATTTATTACAAAAGATGGTTTAAAAGAACCCAAACACAATGCAGTTCAACCCAATTAAAACAAAAGAAAAGGGCAAACAAAATTCAAGAATGGTTAAGTATTAAATTACAAACTGCCCAAACCAGTCAGACCAAGTTTAACACAAAACAACCCAAAAGAAAAGACAAAGGGAGCAAACACAAGTTTCTAGCTTGAACAAGTCCACCTAAAGTTGATTTGAGAAGAATATAGAAGCTAGGTCAAACAGTTCTGACTGCCCCAAACAGTTTGAAACCAAAGGTGGGGAAACAGCTTAACAAAAACCTTCCTTTTATAAGGTGCAGGTGGGTCTCATCAACATCCTGATTGGCTTGACAATCTTCTGCTGGTCCAATCATACCACTGCTCCTCTGCAGTCTTCAGGCAGCCAACAAGGAAGATCTGTCAGAGCTAAACTTGCATAAGAAAACAAGCCTGCACAGTCTTAAAAGGCCAGGGGCCGTAACACTATTCCATAAGACCACACAGGTGCCACTGCTGTCAATTAATAACAGAATAAATTTCAACTAAAACAATGTTTTCCTTTCTTATTAGTCTTGATTTCAGTTACAGTATTCAGCATCAAGCATAAACTGCATGAATGTTTATGGATCCAGATACAGTATAATGTATGGAACACTCATGCTTCATAAATCCAATGGTAGTGGTCTGTGAGGGTGATTTACTTGAAAATTTTAGGTTCCTTATATTTGCAACTGTTTAAATTCCACAGCCAAAGCAAGTATTGTTGACGACGTCGATTCCCTCACAGCCCCGTCCTCTGTTGGCTACGTCCACTGACATAATGCCCTGTCAGAGAGCTCAAATCCTTTTGCACTGCTATTTTCAGTAAAATGCAGAGTTCATTTCACTTTTGTCGTCCACAGTCTCCAGATTTCAATCCAATAGAGCAAGTTGTGAGGCGGTGGAATTTTTTACCGCTGTTAAATGATGGGATTTCTTGCTACTAAAACCACATGTGTACTCCACCACATAAGTGAACTCCCAAATCTGTGCTTTCACTCAGCGTATGAATTTTCATTTTCAGCAAGTCCATGATGGATGTTTTGATATTGTTTTGGTCTTAACATGTTGTAGGGTCCAGTTCTGCTGCAGCATTTTTTTATTTTTAAAGATCCGTCCATCCATCTTCTCCCACTTATTCCATCAGTGTTGAGGTAGAAACGGTGCTTAACTTCTGTAGTCTATGTGCAATAGAAGGAGTACACCCTGAACAGGTCGCCAGTCTGTTGCTGGTCAACGCAGAGACATATGAAGACATACATCCGTGCACACACACACACCTATGGACAACATAGAGAAACCAGTTAACCAAACAGTCATGTTTTTGCACTGTGGGAGGGAGCAGGAGTATCCGCAGAGAACGCACGCACAGGGAGAACATGCAAACTCTATAACAAAAGTCACCGGGCCAGAAATTTAACCCAGAACCTTCTTGCTGCAAGGCAACAGTGCTACAAACTGCACCACCATGCAGCCCAGTTTTTTCTTTGTTTGTTTTTAAAGATTTCCTTACATTTTACTAAGGCACCATATGATGCACAGGCGAGTACCCAGATGATTCTAAGCCTCAGAGCTGGCTAAGCCCTGCACAAGTGTCCCCATATAGTAACTCTTCCATCTCAATTCTTACCAGTTGGAAGGGCTTTTCCTTTTTTTTCTGGAACGCCAACCTGTCCTTTGGTCAGATATCTACATAATCCAGTCTAATATAAATAGGTTCAAACAACATCATTCTAAATATCTTTATCTACCCTCTATGTATATTTTCATCTGCATGTCACATTTTAAAGAGCATTTCTCAAGTTGCAGACCCCCCTATGAAAGCAATCTTTTTCCATTTGTATGGACATCAGATTCAATGGCAAAATTTGTAACACTCTGCTATAAATCCCACAATATGATTTTTTATTACTTTTTAGTAGCATCTTAAAGTTTGGTTTCAGGGTGGACTTATGTAGACAGCAACTCATAATATGCTACATCTTATCTTAGCTCTGTTTTTGTTTATTTGTCTAACTTTAAACTTTCTGTCATGTTGCAATGGATATGAAGGGTCTATATGTCCAAATATGAATATTTCCACCCATATATGCAGTTCTTCATATTATTATGTTAAATTCATTGTCCCGTTTCATAAAATGAGCTCAGTACATAGTTGGGGATCAGGCTCATGCATTTCAGGCCAGTACACTACAGTGGCCCCATGGTTATTGGTCATTTTGAATGTCAGGGCTTGTGGCAATACCTGCAAAAATAACAGATGGTCGACTCTGAACAACCTTGGTACATGCCTGAGCTGGCTTTGAACAAAAGTAGTAATTATATATCTCAAAGAGACCAAGTAAAATCATTTAGATTCCTAAATATTCCCAACATGATTAGGAGTCAGCTTGAACACATGATCCATGACACAGTGTGGATGGTTAGTGTCGCTATGGTGACTTGCTTTTTAACAAATAGCACGGACAATGTCAAGTGTCGCTATGGTTGCAGATAAAAATATGTACACTGGCTTTTCTCTCTTTTTTTATGATAAACATCAAGAACTGATTTATATTTGTCTCCATGGCAACCCCAGCATATAGGACGGGGAATGAGACAGTAGAGGAGAAGGAGAGAGAGAGGGTGAGAGAGAAAGAGAGAGAGAGAGATGTACTTTGCTGTATCTGAAAGGAGCCTGGATGAAACAGTGACAAAACGAGGTTTTTAATAGGTCACAATCTGACACCATTCAGGCTTAGGATGTGTGAAGCGGAGTGTTGGGTCAGGGTTATGACCTATGATGATCACTTACCATTTTATCACATTTATACTAATAAAAAGCATGAAAATAAATAAACTGAACCTGTCTTGTGAAAGGTTTTTATGTACTTAATTGATATGTGTTGCTCAGTGGCACAGTGGGTAGCACTGCTGCCTTACTGCAAGAAGGTTCCGGGTTTCATCCTCGGCCCGTGGTCTTTCTGCATGAAGTTTGCACGTTCATTGGAATCTCTAAATTCTCCTTAGGTGTGAGTGTATGCGTAAATGGTTGTTTTTTTCGGTGTGTCTGTGTGTTGCCCTGCGATAGACTGCGACCTGTCCATAGAGTGCCCCGTCTCTCGCCAATTGACAACTGGAGATAGGCACCAGCACCTCTTGTGACCACAGCAGGGATTAGTGTGATTGAAAATGAATGGATGGATGGATGGATAATTTATATGTATACTTAATGAGAATATTAATTCCCTGCTGTTGACTGACCTAGGTGGTGGTGAGTATAGTTCTTGTGTCAACTATCTGATCCAGCTGGAGTTTTGGGTACAAGGATGTGATTCTAGGACAAGATTGTAGCGTGTGCCCCATTGGGAAGTAATGTATGCAAACCTCCTAAAGGTTGGAGCTAAGCTTGATCTGTAAAATATACAAATTGTGTTTGTGAAGAAGAAATTAAAAAACGTACATATGGAATTAATACATAGTTCAAAAGTATGATCAAGTCCTTTGAAAGCAGTTCGAAAGCATGTATGCAAAGATACATAATCTGTTAAAGTTTCGTTTGGAAACCTATATTAAAGTAAGTAATCCTCTTTTTAACGAAACAGTAATCATTTACAGGAATAAAGAAGTAACCATTTAGAGGAAGACAGTGCCCTGTTTGGCAATGTGGCAAAAGGGAAATAATTGTCTTGATAGCAAAAAAGGGCCCAAAGGATTTTGCTTTCGCAAGTGGAGCAGTAATGCAATCGTCATAGTGTTTCGCTTGATTTATGCATGTAAATAGCCTTTTTATAATTATGCAGGGAGTATTACAGATTATATGGACACTGCAATGTAAGTACAACAGGAAAGGAAAAAAACAGGATAAATGAGAAAAGATGAAAGAAAGAGGAGATAAAAGGGACACAACAATAAAATGTCTTCAGTCTGCTTCATCACCTGCAGTCTCAATCATGCCTTCCCACCCTAGTGCCCCCAATCGCAACACTCAGACTCTTCCAAAAAGAGTCGGGAGCCCCGACCGGGCCCCAGGGGGCCAGGTCCCGCGAAGCAGCCTCCAGAAAAAAGCCAGCACCTGCCCGGGTATCTACCCCCAAACTCACAGAGAGCCACCAATGCATCGGCAGGCCAAAGCGCCAGACAGCAGAGGGGGGCAGGACGGGGGGAATGGGCTCCGCAGTTAGTCGAGACTTGAGATGTTCTTCGGGGAGGGAGCAGTTCAGACCCAAATCTGAGTAGTAAAAAAAAAATAAAATAAATAAAAGTCTCAAGCACGCCTTCCCACCCTAGTGCCCCCACTCGCAACACACAGACTCTTCAGTGGCTGGTCCCAGGACTACAGGATGATGCACTAGGTGAACCCTGAAATCTGGATAGGGGGGAGGGGAGAGGTGTCACTGCCACACTAACCCATCTACTTCCTGCTTTGGACCTGGCCTCCCATCCTGCATCCAGACCAGACAACCCCCGGGAACAGGGCCACCATGTCCCGCACGGGCCACCCAAACAGAACCCCCCCTCTGGCCAGACCCCAAGTAGCATACCCCACAGAACCCGAACCCTCGACGCTCTGACGGGGCACCTGCCCGAGGGCAACTGCCCGAGGGCAACACACCCCAGGGACCCCAGACCCACCCCGGACCCACTCAGCAGCAGCACAGCTACCAGGCCAGTAACCAATGTCCGTCGCCACGGAACCCAACAAGAGCACCGCAAGTGGCCACTATAGGCCACCCTGAGGCATCCCAAGCCTCGCTCCAATGGGGGGAACAGACCACGGGGTCAGACCCACCAGGCGCCCCACTCCGAGCATCCCACCCCAGAGCCCCAAGACCCAGGGACCCCCAACCCAGCCAATGCTCCCCGCAGGACGCATCCCAAAGCCACTCATTCCACTAAGTGATGGAGCCGATCAAGGGAGCTCAGAGAGATCGGTCTGGTGGGGATGCTGATGTTGTCTCAAGATGAATATGATCCAACAAAAGATCTTTATCCTGATTCATACTCATATTCATGAGTTTATTCTTACTTTTCCAATTCATGAGGATAGTTTTCGTTGCGATACATAAGGCATAGAAATCCATGCAAACAATTTTTTTTCCCCAGAGAGCTTCCCTTAAATTCACCAAGCAAGCAAACTGATGGGGAAGGTGTAATTTAACAACTCACGCACTGTGATAAGTCCTTACATACCTGTACCCAGAACCTCTAAACCGGTGTGCATAACCATAACACGTGAATATAATTATCAAGATGACTGCCTGTGCACTGTGGACAGATATTAGATTGTGCTAAACCCATCTTGAATAATCTTTGACCTGTAGAGTGTACTCTGTGGAGGATTTTGTATTGTATTAGTTGTAAATTGGGGTTTCTAGTCATGTTAAAAGGTAATTTAACCCTTCAAATAGACCAAACCTAAATACTAGTTTACTATATGCACGGCCCTTTGAAGCTGAAGTAACCTTTGCTTGGTGCCACTCCTGCAAAACCTCCTGTGACCATCTTTGAGCTCATCTGTCTAAACCAGTTGGTGGCACGCTTGTCCTTAATCTCACATGTTGTTGTGATTTCACTGATATTCAGTCTGAATTGGGAAGCTTGTTAAATACGCTTTCCCTCAGACACAATACCCTTTCGGTGTTTTATGGCAAAAAGCTAGTAGAGATTCAAGGAACAATCTGCACAATAATTGGTCTTTGAGTTTATGGTAGGCAAACACTGGGATGAGATTCACCTTCAGTAAAAATGACCCGGTATATATGTATATATATATATATATATATATTCACAAAGATCTAACTGTTTTGTTTTAAAATAAAGTAAGCAGGTATAAATCTGCTTGCCCTCATTTATCAAGCTGGACAGCAGTGTGTCACAGCAAGTAGGAAATGGGTTTATGCTGTTTAATCTATTCTTTATAGACAGCTAAAGAAATTCATTTTGGCCTCCTTTGACTTAAATGCTTAAATGTATTTTAATTAAGTGGATATATCTTTTTACTTTTCCAAACCTGGGTATACATTAAACCTTGTAACCCTCCTCTGCCTTATGCACACCTTGAAAATACCAGTCAATACAGCAATATATGCTCCTTTTTATTTATACCTTGATAACTAGAAGTTCATCTTGTCCAATCAGAAATAGCTATGACATATTGAAAGTGTGCTACAAGATTTTTAATGAGAAAACCCCAAAGATCACACATAACACTCATTTAGCGCTGTAGTTTTTAGCTCATTAGAATCAGTTTTTAAATCTTTATTTACAAACATCAAAACACTTAAATTGGTTGTATGTAAGGACTACAGCATGATCAAAGTTGTTGTACGCTGTTTATGTTCAAGCTAGAGGAAATCGGTCTGTCAAGGCATCTAACAGCCTGTTTATCTCATGTGTGCTGTTACTTTGCTCCATTGAGCTATTGATTCAAGCAAATGCAAACATTCACACAGCTGTTTAAAATGTAATCAATGTAGAAGTAAAAACAAAATGCATAAACTTTTAATTCTTTAAAACTGAACATGTTCATGTTGGATAATCAGATTATCTTAAGACATTTGAATTTGTGCTAGAAAAAATTAAAGGGTAAACTTTTATCCTCCCAATTTTAAAAACTCAAAAAATGGGCAGACAGTTAAGCAAGACTCACTGAAAAAGAAAAAAAAAAAGAAAAAAAAAAAGTATTCCTTTTTTATGAAAATAGTTACTCGTACTCGTACTCGTCGTCTCCCGCTTTATCCGGAACCGGG